CCCGCCCCGCCAGTAAAGGCGAGGCGGGAGGAGGTAGGAGGCCAGGAAGGAAGGCTAGGAGGTACCGCACAGTGGGCCAGAAGACCGGCGGAGGCGGTCAAAATTGTGGACGCGTTTTGAGCTGCAGAGACGCTAAGTGGGGCTCGAACCGAACGTGTGACCCCACCAATGGATTGCTCTCCGAACGAAGAATCCACGGGTGGGGTCACACGTTCCTCGAGTCCTGCTCAGCGACTCTGGAGCTCAGAACGCGTCTGGAGTTTCAGCCGCGTCCGCCGGTCTTCTGGCCCACTGTGTGCCGCCCTCCAATCCAGCCGCATTGTATCGTAGTGGCGCGTAGTGGGCTAGCAGGCTGCAGGAAGGCAGTGTGGCTGCAGTGCAGGGACTGCAGGCCCTGCAGGGCGCCAACGAGGAAGTGGACTCCAGATTACTTTCCAGCGGCTTGCGCCACTCGGGCGGACGAGGCCGGACGAGGGCTGTCTCTCTCGCACTCGTCTGGAGCGGCCCACGAGCCCCACGAGTGCGACGGAGACGGAGACAGAGACGCTGCCCGCTTTGCCGCCCGCCGGGGTAGGCCACGGCCCGCCACGGCCGCACGGCTGCCTGCCGGGTGGCCTACCCCGCCGTCCGCGGGCGCTCGCCCCGCTCGGCTCGCCGCACTGAGACGCCAAGACTGGAGATCTGCAGACTGGTTCAAAGAGTCGGTTTCGTCGCTCTGTGTCTCTCGCACCTATACGGGAGGCCCATGAGTGCGAGAGAGACAGAGCGACGAAAACGACTCTCGGAACCAGTGGACTAGAAGACCGGTGGAGGCGGCCAAAACTGTAGACACGATTTGAGCTCAGAGTTGCTTAAAGGGAGCCGAACTTGTGACCCCACCAATGGATTGCTCTTGCTCTCCGAACGAGGAATCCATTGGCGGGGTCACACGTTCGCTTCGAGTCCCATTTAGCGACTCTAGAGCTCAAAACGCGTCTGGGATTTTTGACCACCTCCACCGGTCTTCTGGCCCAGTGTGCGCAGAGGGCGGCCCCGGATTTCACGACGTCGTGCCGCCCGAGGCGGTCACGTTTAGCGTGCCGAGGCGTGGCGAGGCGTGGCTACGTGGCGGCATGGGGCGTGTGACATCGCGCCGCGTCACAGGTGTGACGAAACGCGTCACAGGTGTGACAGTCACGCTTCGCTCCCGCGGCCCCCAATCAGAGTGAATCAGAGTGGGCCGAACGGTTGGTTGGCTTGCAGCGCTTGCAGTGGCGTGCCGGTAGGTGGCGCGTCACACGACGCGCGTCAACAGCGTGGACGCAAACGCGACTGTGGTTCTACGCTTATCCCGCGTAATGAACAGATGAACTCGTTGTTCTTCTTAGGGGTGCTAGGGGCTCTTCCGTCAAAATCTAACACGACTGCCGTTGTCTCGCCTCCGCTTCTTGCCCTCCCCCCCCCTCAGCTCTCTCTCTCTCTCTCTCTCTCTCTCTCTCTCTCTCTCTCTCTCTCTCGTCGGCCGCGCGCGTGCACACTGTGCAGTGGAGCGTCTCAAATTTCGACATCGACTGCACCCGGAGCGAAACCTGGTTTGAAAAAAAAAAACGAAAACAAACGCGTGAAACGACAAAAAAAAGCGCGCGAAAAAACCGTCAGCGGGCGCGCTGTTTACAAAGAAAAGCAGGTCAGTCGGAAAATAGGGAAATAGGGCCGGTTTAGAGGAGAGCATGAGGCCGGCCGTGGCCACGTGGAGAGCAGCATCACGAAAGCAATCCAAAGTTTAAAGGTGTTTCCGCTCAGCCAAATTTGGGGATTATTCCCTTCAAGATTCTCTTCGCAGCCACCTCTCTGATTCCTCGCCCTGTCTCTGTCGCACTCGCGGGGCGAAAGGGGTGCAGTGAGAGGGAGAGAGAGAGAGAGAGAGAGAGAGAGAGAGAGAGAGAGAGAGAGAGAGAGAGAGAGACGGCTGTTTGGAACGTCCGGAATCGGAGTCATGGCGCGACGAACTTTGCGCCTTTTGATGGTCCAGCTGAAGGCTGCTTCCGAAACCCTGCTTCGCCGCGCTGCCTCTCTCGCACTCATGGGACCGCCCCTGTAGGTGTGAGAGAGACAGAGCGGCGAGAGCGGGCCAGCCCAGAGGTCAGACAGATAAGGAAGAGCGAGAGCGATTCAATAAACTCCGCCAGCTAGCGCCATCTAGCGTCAGCCAGCCAGCCTGATTCCGAGAGTCGTTTTCGTCGCTCTGTCTCTCTCGCACTCACGGGGCGTGCCCTGTCGGTCCTGTCGGTGTGAGAGAGACAGAACGCAGTCCGCCGGCCGGAGATGCGCCACGATAGCGCGACAAAGATACAACGATACCGGCAAGGATTCACAATAAAACACAAACATCAACAAAAAACAAAAGCCTGGCGCGGGAAATCGACTTTAACGTCGTTGGGTGCGTTCTTTATCGCTAAGGCGCCCCGATGAATCTTCCTGCAGACTGACTCCGGACACGTGTCGCTGTCTCTCTGTCTCTCTCTCTCTCGCGCGCGCGCGCGGGGCGGTCCGCAAGGGGGTGCGAGAGAGACGGAGCGACGAATTCAAGCTATGTTCGGACGCAGCCACCTGGATTGACCTGTCGCGAGCAATGATTGAAACGGCCGGAACGTGTCATATTCAATTACACTGCTTTTTTTCTCTCTCCCTCTAGTTGTTTTTTGTTCCATGCTGGCCTGTTTTAGACGCTACGTAAGTGGTGTGTGTGTGTGTGGTGTGTGTGTGTGTGTGTGTGTGTGTGTTGTGCGTGTGTGTGCTTGTGCGCGCGAATGAGTTGTGAGTGAAAGAGTGAGAGTGCGGTCACTAAAAGAGGACACATGGGGAAAGGCACATAAAAGCGCCTGGCCTGACCACTCAATCGGTCAGGCAGCGCGCTGCGCGAGCGCGCACACACTGGCACACACACACGGTATGACGCGCGAACGCCGCTCTCGTCATAATAAAAGCGGAACGCCTGCCGGGCTGGCGCTCCGTCTCTCTCGCACTCGCGGGGCGTCCTGGTGCCGCGTGCGGGTGCGAGAGAGACGGAGCGACGAAAACGCGCGACAAACTGTTGCGGCTCCGCTTCGTATTTACTGCGACGCATGGATGGCGCCCTCGGGTCCTGCCGGGCCTGCCGCCTCACTCCGAAGGAATGCCGTTGCTCTGTCTCTCTCGCACCTGCACGCAACGCGCCGTGCGTGCGACAGAGACAGAGCGACACTTTTTCCGGAACCAGGCGGCCGGGGGGATGATCCATCCACGCGGGAGGGGGGCGGCCGGTCGGCCGGGCAGTTAGACGCGAATAAAAATAATCATAAAATGAAAACTGCAGGAGGGCGGGCGCTGGAAATCGGCCATTCGTCGTTGGAAACGCGGCGGCCTTTCGTTTTCGTGCCGCGGCGGACAGAGACACACGACATTCTGTCGGGAACGGCCACTCCTTGTTGTTGCCGCGCGCGCACGTGTGGGGTGCGAGGGGAAAAGAGAGACACACAAACACGAAAAGGCCTGTATCGAATTTACACAAACTATCGGGCCATACGGGGCATCCGGCACACCGCCACCCCTACAGGCATAAACAGACTTTACGACGCGGAGGGGGGGGGGGTAAGCCGTAAAGGGGCCGGTGCAAACAGGCAATCACAACGCGGACAAAACGCGCTGCATAAGCCAGAAACGCTGCACGGCCGCCAACCGGCCGCCAACAACAACAACAATGTTGTGCCGTGCATCATCGACAGCCATTTTCCTTGTTTTTGTTGTTCAACTCGGATGCTTTTGCAGACATAATCCGTACGCATGAGGGGCACACTGTAACGTTGTCAAAGGCACTTCCCCCAACGTGGCACCTGTGAGTCGTGCTTTTATTGTTCGTTTTTTTTGCAGTGTGATTTTTTGAGAGCTTGGACTTTCCTTCCCCTCAACGACCAGCCTGAAGATAGGCTGGGGGAGGGGCGGCGACAGTGGGCCAGAAGACCGGTGCAGGCGGCCAAGACTCTAGACGCGTTTTGAGCTCCAGAGTCGCTGAACAGGCTCGAACCGAACGTGTGACCCCGCCAATAGATTGCTCTCCGAATGAGGAATCTATTGGTGGGGTCGCACGTTCGGTTCGCGTCCCATTTGGCGACTCAGGAGCTCGAAACGCGTCTAGAGTTTTGGCCGCCTCCACCGGTCTTCTGACCCACTGCGGCGACCTACCTTGGAAGCCACCTAGAGAGCCGCCCTCACACAGCCACGGCTCTAATTTTCAAACTTTCCGCCCTCCCTTCCCGCACCGGCCGCACCGTGCCGCCTCGTCAAACAAGCCAGCAGACGACGCGAGGCCTCGCTCTTCCAGCGCTCTTTGCTCCTCGTCTGACTTGGTCTGACTTGGTCTGACTCGTCTGCAGCATTGTCCGGCCACGAGTCGTTTTCGTCACTCTGTCTCTCTCGCTCCAATACGGGGCGCCCCTTGAGTGCGAGAGAGTCTGAGGGACGATAGCGACTCCCGGCACCAGTCTGCTGTGCGACGCAGACAGACAGAGAGAAACGGAAGGAGGGAGGTTTCTTCTTTCTTTTTTCCAGTCCACGGCATCAGGCAAACATTTGCCCAAGGAGCAGACGGGAAAAGCATGAATTACCACCAGCAGGCCAGCACGCCACTCGGTCGGCCGAGATTCGCAGACAGATTGCGGAGACTCGTTCCGTCCCGTCGCTGTCGCACTCGTGGGACGTGTCCGAGCAGGGGTGCGAGAGAGACAGGCCGATGGGACGACTCTTCAGAATCACTCGGCGAAGGCATCTCGTCACGTCGCCTGAGTTTGCCTGGCGTCTCGTCCTGCCCGCTCCTTTCTAAAGCCACAAATTAGTCCTCGACAGGACTGTTTTATCTCCCCAAAAAGTGTTTGCATCGAGCCAAGAAAAAAACAACAAAAGGTTAACATCGGATTTTGCGAGGCGGTCTTCCCCCCCAGCCCAACTGCGAGGGCGATTCGGTGTAGGGAAATGTAAGAGCATAATTGAAACAAGCCGGCAAATGTTTAATACTGTAACATCGCAGAACATAATCTTGAAAATATAGATTTAACAGTTATATACAGTATGTGCTGAACCGTGATCTTCTATATACCAGATGATGGAATGGAGGAATGTGCACAAACAGCATATAAGAAATTCTTTTAAACAATCCCTGGTAACTTAATTAAAACACACACCTTAAAGTCTATACATAACATGGAATATTTTAGAAGGAAAACCAAAGTATTTGTTTTCATTACAATGATATAAATGTACATGCATTATGTTAAATGGAATTGAAAACAAAACAAAAGGATAAAAATAATTGCAACATTTAATTGTTTTGAACACGTAAAATCGACAATCCTTTCAAACACAAGCTAAAATGCACATAACATTGAGCCATTGCATGATTCAACAGTTACCTAAACTAAAGAGTATGCATTCCTACTCAAGCTAAACATTTACATATGTATTTTGTTTACAATATGAATTGATGATCCAAGATGAAATTCATGCAATGGCAATTCCGATTTGAAGTCTAAGTCAAAACACTGCCAACATACAAATCCAGCCTATATTGTTTATTTATGACAGATATGAGTGGTTGGTTACAGCTGTAACACGTAGCAACCAAGCACAAAGTCTCAAGGCCATTTTAAAATATGTGGACATCAATAATTATTTTGAAATATATATTCCTCTCAGAGATTCCTAGCAGAAATGGAACCTCTGAATTAAGTGTGCAAGTCTTCCCCACCCACATTCAGTTTACTTGCGGAAATTCTTGTGAAGCTCAGGCTTGATATCATAGACAAGCTCCAAAATCTTTTCGATAACCTGCAATTCACAAAGTTAAACCACAATCAGAAAACAAAACTATCACTTTAAAATACTTCCATCCTTTCAGGTAATCTGATGTGTAAAAACATTAGGACGCTAACAAATAAGTACCTGTTCTTTGTGCAAAGTGACAGCTTTGTTCATTTCATTGATACGCAGCTTTGTGTCAGCCTCAATGCGCGCAGACACATCCTCCCTGGAGCCCATGTGCTGTAAGCATAAATTAAACGATAAAAACATGTGTTGTACGAATTCTCAAGGTTGATACTAATTCCAAGAGGAAGAATGAACTACTAACCTTGGCCTCGAACTCCTTGAACTGGCGTTCCCGTTCTTGCCTGTACTTCTCGATTTCATCCTGAGCCTCCTCCTTGGCCTGCTTTAAACGGCGGGCCTTGCCTGTGAAAACACAAACAAAGTAACGCTGAAACAGACCAGTTTGGTGTCAAATCTTGTCGTGATACACTGAGGAAAAACAATGCTCGCCAGCGCAGTAAGTCATTTCATTAGACAATTGAGAAAACACAGACCACATTATTGAGTTTCATATTGCTAGCAAGAAGATAAGCAAAGAAAAATCCGTAGACAAGACACAGGCTGAAGAACAATACAAAATCTTGACAGCAAGAGGGCTTAGGTTAAGAGCCAAACAAAAACTTGGAAAATGCAGAGGTTTCAAAACAAAGCTCTGATCGAACACTCAAAAACGAGCGTTCAAACGCACTGGTTCATCAAATTCAACACCAGACAGGTGCAATTTCTTAAGAAAATGTGGAATCCGTTTGGTAGCAGAAAGAACTCGTGATTGGGGTCACATGAGAAGCTCGTATTTTCGAGTTCCGACCAAAAACCAAAGGTAACAATTACATCGAAATGATCTACAGATTCTACTTACGCTTCCTAGCCTCCGAAACCTTTTCGGCAGCCCTTTTCTCCGCTGCCAAGAGCTGCTGAATTCCTTGAGTTTGGCTGGCCATTTTCCACAACTGTGACTGTGAGTCTCAGGATCGATCATATGACTGGGAGTTGACAACTCTTTCCCCAGAGGTCGCTTACGTCGACACCACCGTCTTTTGTTCTGGGCTCGTGATGCTGCGGCCCGCGGATTTCAAACGGCCCCGCCTTCGAGTCTGTCAAGAGAGTTGACTAAGCGCTGAGTGTAGGCAAAGGTCTATTTTTCGTAAATTTGATGCTGAGTGTATTCATCATTTTTATTGAATGAATTATAGCAGTGAAAATTTAGATACACAGTTTTTGGGTCGGTTTGCATGGTTAATATCTTAACAAAAACATGTTTAAATCCATTAAAACAGTTCAAAAAATGTTGATTTAAAAATTGCCTTGGACAAAAATACAAACTTAGTTCCATTTAGTTGAAACTAAGACTTTGTGTTTAATAGGGTAACAGATCAGTCAGGAGTACCTAAATAAGGTAGACTCTTTGAGACATGAAGAATTGTGGTTACAAAGGGGATAAACAAAAGTCATGTCTTGGGAGGGGTCATACAGTTTCCATCAGGATATCTTTCTCGAAAGGCTTTTATAAGTTCAGGATCTACGAGACGAACACCATCCACTTGATTTCCTAGAGTGATCCTGAAAAACGGAAAACACCCACCGTTACAAGCTACTGCACAAAAAGATAAAAATTGCATTTTACAAAAAATTTTGTTCCCTTACCAATTGGGTTGAACATTGTGAGGACGTCCAAACAGTTCTATTTTACGAGTCCCAGGTGAGAGTCGTTCAATAATACCATAAATTTCATCAGGTTTATGACTTGTGGCTCGAACTTCTGCCACTATCACATCACAGTCTAATCCACGATTTAAATTATCTGGGCTACCCTTCATTCCCACCTGAAAGTGGAAATCAAGTGATGAAATTTCTTCTCAAAAATATTGTTAAGTAGAAAATGCCCTCAGATAGGATGTAGGAGAGTAGGAGAAATTCTTACCAAGCAGTGTTCTTTTCCATGGTTGAGCCAGTGACCAGTTCTACCAGTTCTAATGATTCTTTGAAGCTGATTTGTTTTCACCCAAATGATTTCATCAACTCGTTCGTAGCCCCACAGCTTCAAGCATTCACGACCCAGCTCCATTGCTCGCCCTGTCACCCACAGGAAAATTAAACCATCGTCTTGTAATGTTGGAATACCCAGTTGCCTCATTTCATCATCAGACATAGTTCCATAAGGCAATTCCATATGAATGTCCCATGGGGGATCAGCCATGATGACAGCAAATTTTCCTAAAACTCTCATGTCTAAATATCTCAGGTCACACTGAACCCATTGTGGTGGGTACAAAATAGTTGAGTCCTTAGATGCTGAAGGGCCTTCAGATTTTCCTAATCCACCATAATTTTCTCTGGGGAGGACAGTTGGGCCGTCCACTTCATAGTGGACATACTTGCAGGTGTCCATGTGGAAGCAAGTGTTCAAAAAGGAACAGTCGCCCAGTGTTTCATCAGTGTGCTGCTGAATTATCTTTTTGAAGTGGAGTTTCTTGCAGAGCTGGGCAGCACCCCCATTGCCAGATCGCTTCACTTTGGCACATTCTGCCTTTGTGCCATGAGGACAAAACTCCATGACTTGTGCTCCTGAGAGGGGTAGAAACAAGGAAAGGTTTCCAGTTAAACTTCCTAAGATTGACAAGAATTTAATTGAAAAAGCATTGGTTCCTTACCTCCTTGAGAGCGAAATCTTTCAGTGAGTGACCGCTCCTTAGCAGTTGGTTTACTGAGTAGATCAAGTATCTCCTCCCCCATCTTTTTACTTTCTTTTTCTTTAATAGAGGGCATGGAGAGGAGTGACTTCACAAAATAATAAGAGAAACATTAACGAAATAACCAAATTTCTTACTCTATAAAAATAAAGAATAGCAAACCTGAAAATTACCATTATATCCTCTGCCTTTGGGTCTTTTGATTTTTTGGTATCATCTTTGTCTGAATTTGAAATTTTAGCAGCTTTGTTTCCTGGCTCATCTCCTAATTCTTCACCTAAAAATGGAACATTGAAGTTACAACATATTTTTTAAAATGTATAAACATTTTGTGCTAAAATTAATTTTTCAACCTTTGAGTACCTTTTCTTTTAGTGTCTCCTCGGATACTTGGCAGTGCACCGCTTCTTGAGGGCTTAGGGTCATCATCAGTTTCTGCCAGCTCTAAGACCATAGCAGATAGTTTGCTATGCTCAGCACTAACCACTTCCAAAAACCCATCTTTTCCTCCATCCTTGATACTACCCATAAAAATAAACCAGCAAAGTACATTATGATGTAGAAGTTCAAATAAACCAGAGCAAATAGTGCAGTCGTACCTAATAAGTTGTTGAGTGGCAAATTTTTGGAGAAGGTTTGTTACAGTCAAGAGAGGCCGTCCCACCATAGCAGCTAACTGCTCACTATTTGAAGGTAAAGTAAGTGAAACTTCACTTAAACAACGCAGAAGCTGCTTTTCTGCTGCAGGGTCAGTTTTGACAGGTTCAACAACAATTTCTGCATCGTGAGTTAGATCATCTGTAGAGAGAAATCCATACCATTGAGTAAGGGATTCAAAAGTCCACTTACAAATGCAAAAGAAATTCGAGGAACCATTTACCACTTGTTTTCACCACAGAAGATGGCGATCTTTTGTTTTCAGTACTAAGCGATTTGGATAAAGATGACGGAGATACTTCAGGACCTCCGAGAGGTCCCCCTGATCGATTGAGGATGTCCTCCCTTTCCTTCTTACGCTTCTGTAATTTTTCTCGCAGGCTATTTCTCTTGCTCTTCAAAGCTTGCAGATCTTCCCAAGCATCTGACATTTTAAATCTGGATAAAATAAAAAGTACATTAGTTTTTGGAGGTTACAACAACCAAAAGAACTAAAAAACTACCCATTGCAAGGTTTCTCCCCCTACAAAATGCCAAAATATGGTTAAGATCGTATTATGGTGGCATAAAATCTGATGCAAGGATGTTGACACAGGAAATTTTGCTTAGAATAAGCAGACGATTATAAATGGGCCCAGGAAACAAAAAAGCTACTGTGATGTATAACTCATGAATGAAAATTTACAAGATTGACAGGTAAGGGGAAAGGAAGGGTGTAAAATTCAACACTGAACCGATGGTGTTGGTAGTAAAGTTGAATCTTACTCACATACTGATTCTATGCTTAAAGTAAATAAACACAAATTTGTGTCTGTCAAGAACACACGAACACACTGGACACCACCACCTCGTCCATTGCCCTTCCTCCTCCCCTATACACCCCAGTACAGTACATTTTTGGGATGTCGAGTTTGAAATGGTGAAATTCAAGATTCCAACGAATTCCAACATGGAGTGGAGCTTCTAGAGTATTCATTGGGCAGGTAAATGTTCATTTTCTTCATACACGTTCACGTTCTACCACAATTCATCAGTTTCTAATCTATGTCGCTACTCTTCGAAGTCCTGTCGTCTCGCGTTCGCCGCCGCTTCCCGCTGTTTTCCCTCACTCCGATTGGCCGGCTGGGTCACGTGAAGCGTATTTGTTGTCATACTTCACCGGGCCCTTGCTGCAGCCTACGCACTATACCCCCCACCACCGAGCTGACGACGTCCGGCGATTTGGGGATGGGGCTGGGCGAAGGCGTTCCACCGTTCTACACGTCATCATCTGTTATTATTTTTATGAAACAAATTTATGATTGAAGATACCAATTCACAGGAAGAATGACCAGCATACGGGAAAAACAAATAAGTGAGTGCTAGTGCTACAGTTTCTTTACGTCTCGTAGAGTATCCTACAACTTTCACTGTTTAACCTATAAACACAAATGACTGACAGGTGTCTTAAATGCATTATTAATTTTTATCAACTTTTTTCTCAATGTGTAAAGACTTTCCATATTACTAATTTTTTATCATTCTTTCCGAATCTCCTTTTGCCTATCAGGGTCCTCTTATTTCACTGGTCAAAATTTTATCTTTTTCAGCAAACCGCTAGCAGACTGCTATTTATAATTTTAAAAATTGATTTTGGACGCTTTACTGCTTTTATCAATTTTCTGACTATCGTTTTCAAATAAGCTTTCTTCTCTTAAGTGATGTCAGTAATTATTCAGACCTATTACTTCTTACATCATGTAACATTCTTGTCCTTTTGCTCTTTGAAGATGCGCTGAAGCAGATGCTGAATTTGAATGATCCACAAGGGCGTGGACAGGCTGCTGAACCAGTGTGGAAGATCCTCATCTATGATCGTTATGGCCAGGACATTATTTCCCCTCTAGTTTCCATTAAAGATCTCCGTGAGCTTGGCGTGACCCTGCATGTGTAAGTATTGTTGGCCAAATTATGTGTCTCAATGAATGTGGACCTATCATCTTAATCAATTTATTTTCTCTCAAAGACAACTTCATTCAGACCGAGATCCAATTCCTGAAGTACCTGCAGTATATTTCTGCATGCCCACCGAAGAAAATCTTGGCAGAATAGGTCAAGATCTGCACAATGGGTTATATGACTCGTACCATCTTAATTTTATTTCGCCCATTAGTCGTCAAAGACTGGAAGATTTAGCAGCAGCATCTCTCAGTGCAAATTGTGTGTCTAGTATCAACAAAGTTTTTGACCAATACCTCAACTTTATCTCATTAGAAGATGATATGTTCATATTGCGTCATCAAAACAGTGATTCCTTGTCGTATTATGGTAAGTAGATTGTTGCAGTCCTTTTATTTTTTAAACCTTCTCATATGTAAAATTTTGATACAAAGAATTGATTTTAAAACATTACTCTTAGCAATTAACCGAGGAGAAATCAAAGATTCGGAAATGGAATCTATCATGGATTCAATTGTGGACAGCCTCTTCTCAGTCTTTGCCACACTAGGTATGTGTGAGTATACTGACCTAGATTCAGTGAATTATTCAATTGTTTAATTTTGTGGCATGGTTCTTGTAACAGGAACTGTTCCAATCATAAGGAGCCCAAGAGGCAATGCTGCAGAAATGGTTGCTGAGAAATTAGACAAAAAGTTGCGCGAGAATCTTAGGGACACAAGAAACAGTCTGTTTATGATGGATGCTTCCCAGGCAGCAAACTATAGGTATATTCAAATTCCTTGCTTTATCTTGACTTAATTCTTTGTTCTAAATTTAGGGTGTACTCGCTCACAATATTGTGCATGTGTTTTACAGCTTCCAAAGACCTCTCTTGATAATTTTAGACAGGAATGTGGATATGGCTACCCCTCTGCATCACACCTGGACATACCAGGCCTTGGCTCACGATGTTTTGGATTTGGCATTAAATAGAGTTGTTGTTGAAGAAAATGCTGGACGTTCTCCAGCAGGAGGAGCCAAGGCAAAAACACGGGCTTGTGATCTTGATTCCAAGGATAAGTTCTGGATGACGCACAAGGGCAGGTATGTTGATTGCTTTCCCATTTGGCTGTGTGGGCTTTGGGCTTTCATCATGCCGTTTGAGACCCTCCTATCATACCTAATGCTTTCTTCCAGCCCATTCCCAACTGTTGCGGAGGCAATTCAGGAAGAATTAGAAGAATATCGGTCATCAGAAGTAGAGGTTAAAAAGCTGAAAGCATCAATGGTTGGTATACACAGTATTGAATGTTGATTTTTTAATTTTATTTCAATGGTGTTATTGGTCTAATTGTTACCTACTTTAGGGTATTGACAATGAAAGTGATGCAGCTATGGCAATGGTGTCCGACAATACTGCAAAGCTAACCAGTGCTGTGAACTCTTTACCTCAACTTCTGGAGAAAAAGCGCCTGATTGATATGCATACTACTATTGCTACAGGTTTGTTATTTCTGTTCTAGACTTTAGCAATTTTATCTGTTTCTAGAATGTAAGTTTTAACTATGGATGTATCTGGTTTTCTATTTTCTAGGCATTCTTAATGCTATTAAAACAAGGAGGCTTGACACATTGTTTGAACTTGAAGAGAAAATCATGAGTAAAGCAGCTTTAGATCGCAACCTTCTAGAATTGATTACTGACTCAGATGCTGGAATTACTCCAGATGATAAAATGAGACTTTTTATCATTCATTACATTTGTTGCCATTCCATGTCTGAGGTTTGTTAGTGGTGTGAATTTTTCTGTTTTAGAGGGTCCTTTCATTGTTTTTTTTATCCAAATAATGTTTTGACAGGTGGAATTTGATAGGTTTGCCACAGCATTGCAGAATGCTGGCTGTGATTTGAATCCGCTCACCTATATTAAACGGTGGAAGTACGTACTCACTGCTCTTCTTAAAATGTTAAAATTTTTGTTTTGCTTGATGTATCTTAAGAATACCAAAAATAACCCTGCAATGTTTTAGGGCTTATGCTAAAATGGCTGCAACATCCAACCAGTACGTTGGTGGTGGCACCAAAACTGTGAGCATGTTCTCTAAGCTTGTCTCTCAAGGATCTTCTTTTGTTATGGAGGGTGTTAAAAATCTTGTTGTTAAACGCCATGTAAGTCCGCACACAATTGCATCAATGAGTCAACTGTTTTAAAGTAATATTAATTACCTCTTTCTTTGTCACATCATTTTTCTAGAATTTGCCTGTTACGAGAATTGTGGATGAGTTAATGGAACTGAAGGCATCTCAGGAAACGGACGATTATCGCTACTTTGATCCCAAGCAGCTGCGAGTTGCAGATGCCTCTCAAATTCCCCGAAACCGGACTACTTTCCAAGAGGCCATTGTTTTCGTCGTTGGAGGAGGCAATTACATTGAGTATCAAAATCTTGTAGATTACACGAAGGTATTATTTGTCAATGTGTTTGTATGATTGACTCTGTATAAAACTGCCGTCTCCTGACATCCAAATTTCAATTTGCAGTCAAAGTCTAGTGCTGGAGGTCCAACCAAAAGGATAATTTACGGTTCATCAACATTAAACAATGCCAAGCAATTCCTGAAACAGGTACTGTCATTTATTTATGTGTTGGCATGTTATTATTTGAGACAATTTTCTTATCAACTTCTTTTTCCCAGCTTTCTTTGCTAGGTCAGGAACTACATTAATATTTCTCTGCTACAGCAGAATTTGTACATATGTGAATAATAAATGTATCAATTTTATGAGAGGTGGAATTAAATCAATTTGTTGAGTGAAGAGCTTTTTTTATTTTGCCAGAATCATCATTTGCCTTACTAGAACATGATATGGAAAAAGACAGATTGAAAATAAAACATTATGATGTGTAAAACTCAGTACAAAAAAAAACAACAAATAAAATACCATTTCTGAGCATTAGAAAAAGAAATACAGGACCAGGTACAGTACCAAATCAGAACTTCCACAGTGGCAAATACAGAGTCACTAAGGTACATCAGTTATCACAATAAACATTTGCTCCCTTCACAAATATTTCAAAATTTTGAACATGACAAATCTCCAACATTGAGCATGAAAAATTTGAGGTTAATTTAATAGATGCTCTTCACTACCAAAGCCAAAACTGAAAACAAAGTCTCTGTTGAAGATTTGACTGAATAATAGTGACTCAAAGACCATAAGAGGGCAAGAGCTGCTTTAGAAAGTTGGCCAAAAGTTTACAAGGCTCTTGAGAGACACCCTCTTTGAAAGCATCATTACAACCCTTGCTGCAAGCCGCCTACAGTAAATCATTTGTAAGCAAGAAATAAACTCTGATACCAAGAACTAACAACATACAGCAGGGGGTGGAATGAGACTTTATAAGTAGGTGGGCTAATTATGGGAGGTCATAACCACAACTAGCCAATATCATGAACCCTACCTAACACTCATCCCTCATGAGAAAAATGGACAACTAACATATCTGCACTACCAAAATTTATTGCTTTAACATCTGTGCAGAAAATGGTCAAGATGTTTGGACAGTATCTCAGCCACAGCTATATAGTCAAAGGCATAAATGGACATAATCGGCTGTGGCTTGCCTCTGACTAGATGGATCCCCCCCACAATCACAGGATGAAAATTTCAAACTGCCAAAGACTCCTCATTGGCAGATAACAATAACTTATAAAGCATAAGTGTGACACATCACAAGTCACATTACATTATTGGGAAGTTCTTGTTCAACATTTTGGATTATATACATAGTACCACACGCGCGCGCACACACACACACACACACACAATCACACATCATTTTCACAATCATTTACAGGAGTCATTTTCTCCAAGGGGGGAAAAAAACGAAGGGAACAAGACAAGAAAAAAAAAAGGAAGTCATCACACCTCAAAGCCACTGAAATAATGAATTCTATTAGTGGCATGAAGAATTACAAATTTACACATTTACAGATCAACAAGAACGCAAGTCCTTTTCATATAAATACAACCGCACCAATATTGCTCACTAGTACAGTAGAGAGTACACCAGAGGGATTGAGAGCAACAATTGATTAAAGCACCAGCACATTTAAGGGGAAGGTGGATGATATAATACAAAGGTCTAGTACACTGATGCATGAGGGGATCCAAGATGGTACACGTGAACATCCATCAGTATACATTTTCCACAACTTCCATCAACCCAAAATCATGCAAACCAGCAAAAATCCACTTAACTGCTCTGAATCCCTCATCCAGGTTATAAAAATAAATTGACAATACTAGTTTCATGCACAGCTGGATGAAGGAACACCGAAATTTCAATCATTTTTCAGTCAAAAAAAACCACATTAGAGCCAAATAAGTTAACATTGTTAAACATTATCACAGGTAGTTGCTAATGTAAAATGTCACTTTCATATAGCTGTGCAAATCCATCAATTCCAGACTATCAAATAAAGCCAACTTTTCATGGCATTGTTCACTATATAAATTGTATAAAAATCTAACAAAGGAAACATTTTCTTTCACCCATAGGAGAACTGGAGTGTTATGATACCTTGCAACACTGCTCTCAAACCGAACAAAACTTAGTAAACTGAGATATTAGCACTGCTACAATAACAATGGCTCACACAGTAACAAGATGATTTCTTTAAAAATGAATTCTTTAGACAGTATTTACAATGTTTGGAAAGAAAATAAACAAGTTCCTTAACTGTCCTACAAATTTAAATAAAAGTTCATTGGTGAAAGAACACTTGCAGGAAAGAGTATGAGCAATAAGCTGCAACACTTTATTTGCTCGAGTCAGCTTCTTCAATGGCATGACAATCATCAAGAGTCTTAGCCACATACAAGGCTGGGTCGATGACCTAGAACACAAAAATAATGTGAGAAACAAACTTCACAAAGAAAATGTTGATCAATAACCTTGGATTTTGGATTACCTTAGGAATAGGCTTAATCTCTGTGCCCAGTTCTTGCTCAATGCGGTGAAGAGCGAATCTGTCATCAAAAGTGATGAGATTTATGGCAATACCAAGGTGGCCGAACCGTCCTGAACGACCAATACGGTGAAGGTAAGTTTCTGCCATCTTGGGGAAATCGAAGTTGATCACAACATTCACAGCTTGAACATCGATACCTCTTGTGAAGAGATCTGTAGGCAAAGGAAAAGAGATGAGCATGCTAACCAAGCTTGAAAATGACAAATTCAGCATTGAAGCAGTTTTTCAACAAACCTGAGCACACAAGGTTCCTGCACAGCCCATTCCTGAAGTCGTGGAATACTCTGTTTCGGTGGGCCTGGGCCATCTTGGCATGAATATAATAGCAGCAGTATCCCAGTTCAGTTATTTTCTTAGCTAGGAGCTCCACTCGTTGGGTTGAATTGCAGAAGATAATGCTTTGATTGATTTGGAGCTAGAAGGTATAAATACATTAGTTTCAATATCAATAGAATGTTATTATGATAAAAGTAATGAGAAATACCAACCTTGGAAAACAAGGTATTCAAGCAATGAACCTTCTGCCGCTCCTGAACAAATGCATAGTACTGTGTAACACCTTTCAGTGTAAGCTCCTCCATCAAGTTAATTTCATAAGGCTCTTTTAAATGTTTTTCCATGAATTGCTTGACTGTAAGTGGGAAAGTAGCAGAGTACAGCAAGATCTGTCGCTCTTGGGGTAACCGTGAGATCACATGATCCAACATTCCTTTGAAGTCTTGTGACAGCAGTTTGTCTGCCTCATCTAGGACTAGAATTCTGCAACTATCCATGTTTGCTACTTTCTTGTCCATGAGGTCCAAAATTCTTCCAGGTGTGGCAATAATGACATGAACTGAAATTGAACAAAAAGGCATTAGCACTTACAGCCAATTAAAATATTAAGTAGATAAAGCGTTAAATGAGGGAAGAAGAAAAACTAGAACACATGGAAGATTAGTACCTTTTTGGTAGATTCTCATGATATCATCACGTAAATTTGTTCCACCTGTAGTAACCATGACTTTGACATCCATATGCTTAGCAAGCTCAATGCAAATTTGACTAGTTTGGAGTGCCAATTCTCGTGTCGGCACAATGACCAGGGCTGCAACAATACACATGAATTAGAGGACAAACTGTTAGAGACTGGAATGATTCACAACAGAGTTCGCCCTCAAGATGTAAATTGATTTGAAAACTTTGCAAGACCACTAGACTTACCTTGTATGCAATCTTTCTTGGGGTCAACCTGCTCAAGAACCGGAATGGAGTAAGCTCCAGTCTTTCCTGTACCGTTCTTGGCACGAGCTAACACATCTTTGCCTGACAGAGCAATAGGAATGCTAGCTTCCTGAATTGGCGACGGTTTTTCCCAGCCCTTCTCAAATATGCCCATTAGAAGTTCCCGCTTTAAGCAGAACTCTTCAAACTCATTTCCACGAGTATCTGTGACATCCTGTAATGACATGGGTCAGATAAGTACTGGACCTTGCAAAATGCATACAGAGAAAATGTTAAGCATACATACACTAGTTTTGATTCTCTGATCCTTTGGCGGGATCTTCAATTTGGATTTCCAGCCAATTCCATCATCAAGGTCCCTGAAAGAATAGAAGTCTCCATCAGCAAACAAAACTAAGGTTAAAGAACAGATCAAGTCTCACACTGGATACTCACACTTTCTGATTATTCATGTTCATGCCTCCCAGAACGTGATTGGCAACAATTTCCGTCATGGTTGTAGAGGTTATTTGTCACAGAGTGACAACAGAACTCACAACACCAAATTCAATCCAAGTTCTTCTACCACATAAAGGTTCAAGCAGACTCAGCAGGAAAACTGAAAAGGAAAGAATACACCATTACGGTGAGGCCAGACAAACAACACAGCATGAGAGTGGAATTTCATTCAAACATTTAACCACGAGCCGACAAAGACAAATCGGCAAAAGGGAACGGATCTTTGAAAAGTCTGATCAGAAACCGGACGCCAAGCCGCTAGGTAACTTTAGCCGACTGGGGCGGATAAGCTACTGCCGAGGGTTTAAGAAACAATTTTCATACACACCATGGCCAAAACTCGACAGCACCTACAAAGGGGTGCGAGATACCACCGCGAACATTCAATAAATGAACTAAATCAATGGGGTAAAAGAGTGATTGAGGCAAAAGCTTTCACTGCACAACGTAGCAGAGTCAAATTACGTTAGAACCAAACAACACTCGGGCTTTCAAGCAGAGTACGTGCGCAATGCAGTCATGAGGAAAGTCCTGAAATATTTCACAGAATGTAAAAGCGACCCACTGGACACAAAGCCGACAAAGCGGCCGATATTCCGATGAAGCTACTGTGACTCCAAGGAGGGGGGAAAAGCTACGGCAGCCCAAGAACGCAAGTACGCAGAGCGATTTACGTTTAAGGGAACCGGGCTCAATTTCACACTTGACCAGCAAAAACACAAAAATTAGCTCCCACAGTTGAAAACTAAACCCAAAAGTTACCTGATGTAGTTTTGCCGATGCAGATGGATGAACATACAACGCCGAAAACGGCCGGATCGCTCCAGATAGCAAATATGGCGGCCGCTGAGGAACGTCAAATGGAAAGTCGCAAACTGACGAAGCACTGAAATTTCAAGCATTAACAGTGTCCATGCTCATATCCCGGAACACATTCGTACAGCAGGAAGGAGCACACACAATTTTGCCAAGTTTAACGGTATATCCAATGAAATTACAGTCCCAAGTACACGACGAAACGAATATCAAGTTCATTCAAACGAAGCTTCACTGCGGATGCTCAAAATCAAGTGCGCAGGTTTCGCCAAACTCTTTGGCTTGACGAACATGTTCCGCGGCTGCGGCCAGGGTTTGGTGTTGATTTATCGATTTTTCACCACAACCAGCCGCAAAATAAGTGTGTTTGCTTGTATTTTTGATTCCTCTTTCTTATGGTAAAATCTGTAATATTTATTTTTCCGTTTGAGATTCAATGAAGCCAAAAATCAAAAAAATTTAGCTCATGGTGGCGCCCTCTCTCGGCGAAGAATGAAGGTTGAGGTCACATGACCGTGATGTTTACCTCGACTGTCAGTCTTTGAGAATTCCGGGTGGTTGTGCATTTGTTATTGGGAGCAATTACATAACTACACTGTTTCCCGGATTTTGGTATGTACGTCCTGTTGTGTCAACCAAACATCCTACGGTAATGTTGACTTTAGGTGTCATCTCGACTTAGGGAAAAGATTTAGGAGTGAAACGGCGTCTTCCTTTGTCAGAAATACACGATAATGCTCGGGCTAATTCGCAGGTTATGTAATGCCTCTAAATTTTATTCTGCTTTTCACCACTTACTTTTGTGTTGTAGTTGTTCGAGAGTGAGAATCTCCTTTCCAACATGATTTTCTGCTATTGATTTTGTTGTTAATGAAATTTATGTATCATTCTTGCGTAATTGTCTCAACGCTTCAGTTCTGAATAGTTATTTAAATTCATTCCAGCGTTCATTTTCAATGTAATTTAAGCACGGATACTGGTTGATTTGTCTCATGCAGTTAAACACTTTGCACAGCCTCTAGTAGTTCTGGATTTTTATTGTTGTGATTGGCCTTCCAGACTTCCCTGTCTCATACATGATGGTATCGAGAAATGATCTACTACAGGACCATTCTGTGTAAATGAATTAAAATGTCCCAGCAGTTTTCCAGCAAAATTCAGGCTCTATGGGAAAAATTTCTTCAGGCTGAATGTGCTTCATATGAGGTGAGCTCATGTGGTTTGAGTAAATTTACCTTTATAATTTTTACTTTAAATGTAAATTTATCTATGCTTTTTTTCAGAGATCCACTTGGTTTGATGGGTTCTTGACTCAGTTCTTAGTGGAATTCAAAGATGGTAGTACCATTCATGATATTCTTCCATTCACGTATGTTTTTCCCACCAGTAATATGCTTTCCTGTGAGATATTATAACTCTATGTCATCATTGTAACATTATTTCACTCCTTTACTACATCAGACCTCTGGCTGGCGTGGCCACCCTCATTGGGTGTGAGTTACTCTCAGACGTTCATCAGATATGCTCCCAGCCTGGTGATGGGGAAGATTTGGCACCCTTGAGGCGCCACTTTCTTCTTGGTAGGGGATGGCGAACTCTAGCTGTACTTCACTGCTTGGGAGTTCAGGTGGGAAGCTAAGGCTAATATTAAGGTCTAGAGCTATCAGCATCTCTTTCATGGCTTGATTTTCTGTTTTGCCCGCTAGGATGTCAGTTGTGGAACAGAATTGGCGACTTTGTTAATATCTCTCTACCCTGTGTGCCTCCAACCACAATCACATAGCCGGAAAGTAAGCACCTCCACTGTTGGTTCCAAATCCCATTCGTGTGATGAGAGCTCTGCACAGCAAGGTCAGAGGAACCCGTACGTAGCACTGTCCGGTTGTTGGCACAAAGGGGGATGTGGTGAGAGCAGTGGCAATAGCTCACCAGGTGCTTGCAGTAGTCATGGGCATCGTGGCTACTCTTTACCAGGATTACTCAAAATTTCTCCAAGTGATGGAATACATTACCGCAAGTGGTCTACTTCCTCACGTCCTGGCTCTATTGGCACAGTGGCCCCCCAGCAGAGTCGGAGTGATCAAATGAAAAGTCACAGCAGCTCATCCCTAAGCAAACAGAAAAGACGATCTCGTAAGCTAACTCCATCTATCTATTCCTAGCTCTTGAGCGGTATGTGAACAGTCGGTTTATTTTTCCACTGCTCTGCAGGAAATTGTGACGCTGAAAGTCCTCGCATGGGAGGAAGTGCAGTTCACACTGTCACCAGTGAATCGGAAGCCCCGCAAGATGCGTCTGAAGTACTTTTGAACAAGTCAAATACATTAAAAATTCGATTGGATCCCATGGACTTTGACTATTTTGAGTCGGTCATCAGAAGTGATGATGAATCTAATGGTGATCAACCTCGCTGGAGATATGTAAGCAATTGTCAATTTATTTCATCTATACATATCAAACCTTTCAATAATGACATTCGTTTACTTTCTAGTCGATGAAACGTGCCACTAGCAAGTTAACCGCCGAAGACTTAACTGATGATCGTATGCGAGAAGTTCGTACCCAAACTATAAATAGTGCTGAATTCAGTCTTTTGGTAGTGCACTTGCTTGAAGAATTGTGCCGAGCAGAATTGTTGATTTCAACCCAACAAGTTTCTTTGCAATCAGTAAATTTTGCATTAGAAAATTTGTGCTCTCTACAATTTGGATCCACTCCTTTGGATTCCCTTCTAGCAGAGGAGGTAAAAACATTGACTATTTTCTTGATGTATTTATCAGGCAATGCATCGCTCTGATTGACTGTTTTTTACAGGTGATAGAGTTGAAATTGGCAATGACCCAGTTGCTACTTACAGCACTTGATAAAGTCCTTGTACAATCTGAAATAATAAACCAACTCATCAATGCTGGTGTGTTACCAGTAATGCTGAGAGTTTTAGAGGATGCTGTACGAAAGGCTGAGTCCTTCTCCAAAGTTGACTCAAATTCTCCCAAATTGAATCAAAACCAAACTAAAGCTTCACTTTCAGCTAGCTCAAAGTCTAGCTCTAAATCTGTGGAGTCTGATGTTCTTGATGAAATTTGTGGGCTTCAAGAGTTTGTGATGGGTATACTTTATGGTGCTGTTACCTTTCTTCACTGTTTACTTCTTCACCGATCTAGCACAGAAAGGATTCATGAGTTTGAAGAACAATTCCGCCTGTTTGCTAGTAGCTATGGTGGACGGCTGGTTGAGAAAACAGTTATGGCACTTGTTAATTGTGGACCTCAGGTTACCAAAAACTCTGTCAATCGAGGTCGCAAGGTAAATTTTGTGTAAATATTTTTACAGTTTCCCTTGTTTTTGGAAGTTTGTGACGGTACTTATATTTTGTGCAGGTCGTATATTTGGTTGTGCAACTTATATTGAGTCTGAAGCAAGCAAGAAGTACAATTGTTCACTCCTTGCAATGTAGAAAAACTCGTCACAAACATTGTAAATCTGTTGATGCACGCCGCCATCACCACAATGATCTTTTTGGAAACCCATTTGGAAGTGTTAGTGCAAGGAATGTTGGAGTGGGCCATCATAGTAGTAGCTGCAATGTATCATATTTGTTTGCAGCTTTAGTCCGTATCTTAAACTCAAACAGTCATCTTTCTGAATTTTGTGTACCTGTAATGAGGGTAAGTAGGCACTTTGTTTATTTTTTTGGTAAAATAAAATTTATTTAGGCATACTATTGAACCTTATATATTTTTAGGTAATGCTGGATTGTGGCACATGTTGCTGTTACCCTGCCAAATCATTGCTGAGCTGTCTGATAAAAATTCTGAAAACTGGCAATGCCAAAGCAAGAGCCCTTGGATTTACTCTTTTGGAGCATACTGTTTTTACAGAACTGGGTGCCACCGAAACTCCTTGTGCCAAACCATTAAAAGAATATTTTCGCTGCTCAGTGTGCAATAGAAGTGTGGAATCACTTTCAGCTCAACCTTCGCCTCTCGATGACAGCCAAGATGATTTGCTGAGAGCAGAGGATCCACCCGGAAAAGACTTGTCAAAGGATTCTGAAAAAATGTCTTCCCTCTCAGTCTCCAGTGGCAGATCAGAAAGCTCGGAGTCAAAGCAGTATAATTGGAGTTGTCTGGATTTCTATCGTGAGCTTCTCTGCTCTGATGACCCTAAACTGTGCCATACCGCAGCATCCCACTTGTTGAAACTATCACCCAGATGCAGTGAGAAAGTTCAGATTGCACTTTTATCAAATGTGTTTTATCCAAGTTTTGTCCAAGCCAAAAGGGCATACATTGCTCATCAGAAGGATGTTTCCAAGTTCATAGTATTATCCTGTCTTTCTGCATTTTCTTGCCTTATGTCATCCTTGCCGCTTGCCGAGACATTCCTAACACTTGGAGGGCTTGAACATTTGTTGGATTTGATGGTAATGCCGCCGTTTTTGAGAGTTTGCTGCTCTGTTTTGGAAGTAGTGATCGTTGTGGATATCCTGGAGGCAGAAAAGTCATCACAGAGTTCAAAACTCGGTAGAAATGAAATGAAGCAGGCTTTCCCCCTCCCAGCTATGTTGTTACCCTCTCAGAGATTGAGTCAGATGACTTCTCTAGCAAAGCTTATTGAGTGCCTAGAGATGCATTCCAATGACCTTTTAGATAAAATGGAAAATGAAGAGGAAGGCTTGGATGATTATCTGAACACTAACAGTGCCAATCGGAGGGCACACCTGAAGCTGCTGCATCATGTTATTTTGTTTTGGCAGACTGTAGCCAATCTTTCCCTCTGTAGCCCCCAACTTCGTCCATTTTTTGCATGCCATTCTATTAGCAGTCTTGGCTTTGTACTCTTAAGAGCAACCCTGCTCAAGTTAATTAACAGCTCTAACTGGAAACGGCTGACATCCAACAGAGACACTGAGAGTTTCCTATACATGCGCTTGATAGAGTCAGTGCTTGTATTTCATCTCACATCTCCACCTGTTAATGACCAAACTGGTATGATATTTCGCAGCTTGTACTATTGCATCAGCAATTGTTGGATCATTTTGATCATATGTTTTTTCTCCTAGGTTTGCCAACTTCTCGTGAAAAATTAATTGACAATTTGAAAAGTACATTGTGCAATGTGGAAGTTCTATCCCTGTCTGAAAGAAGTCCGAGTAATGCTGGTAGCTTACGCCGTCTTTGTGATGTGCTTATTCGTTGTGCTCTGGCCGAAGCTAGCACTGAACAGGTCTTGCCAGCACTCAGAAAAGCAAAGGTTTGTTTCACAATTTTTTGTTACTGTTCTAATTGTTCCTGTATCTTTTTGTTCATTTTGGTATCCACATTGTTCTCTTCCCCAGCTACCAATACTTATGGTGCCAGACATATTCCCTGAAGAAGTTGATGAAATGGGAGACACAAATGATGAAGAAAGCTTAGAAGTTCAAGTATCAGCAGATAATAATCAAAGTTTAAAGGCAGATCATGCAGGTGTGAGTGATGAAGGCAGTTCAATTGAAGATCCGTATGTGACTGCTGATGAGGGTTATGAAGCTGATATTGAAGTGTTGGAAAACAAAACAAATGGGTCAGTGGATTAGTGATATGATTCTTCTACTCTCTCAGTTGTGAACAGATTTTTTACCATTTTGCTTTTTTCTTGCAGAATGTCTGTTACATATGACTCTAGCACATCAGGGAGCTTGGGAATTCATCAGAATTATACTGGATTGGGAGAGGCAGGCAAATCTAATTCTGTCTCAGACAAAAAGTTTATGAATGTCATTTCATATCCCAGGTTGTGCTCTGTTTCAATTAACCTGCTGGTATATCTGTATCAAGAGTAAGTTTAAAATAAATAATATGTAAATAGATAAGAACAAATGTACCAAAATGTGATTTGTCTGTATTATGAACTGTCACACAATAATTTTTTTTGATAGGTTGCAGAATCTTTACTCTGAGGAGCCAATAGAGTCTGAGGAGCTGGTTGAATCGACCTCACAAACTGAGCAAGATGTTTCTGAGTCTATCAATGCTGGCAACAATAGAAGGCAGATTTTAAGAGACAGATTAAAAGAGAAAAGACCAACTTTAAAATCTCAACTTTTATCTGATATGGTATGCCTTCTTTTGTTTACTTAGTTCTACCATTTTTAGCATTCTATTCATTACATTGTCCTTAAACATTTGCAGGTTCATGTAGTTCAGAGAATAGTTGCTCTGTGCCGGGAAAGTGGAAAAAATTGCATGGTCCTTTCACGAGAGGGTGTGATAGATATTCTTCTGACAGGATTTTCAACTTTCTTACTCTCTGTTAATTCTGAACTTGCGGGTAAGTGAAATATGATATGATCTTATCTGTTTCTTTGTTAAAGGTACTTGTAAGAACAAAGTTGACTTTTTTTTCCTCTGATATAGAGCTACAGTCTGTGGTACTGGAGCTTGTAGCCCTCCTGGCACAGCATAGTATCACTTCCTTGGAACTTTCCAAGTACCTGCATTTTTTCAAAGGCGAGAACCCACCACTGGTATGTGTGGACAATAAGATTTTAGGTGTATGCTTTGTTTGCCCTTTTGAATACTGTCCTCACACTCATATTGTTTTTACATTTACTAGGAGTCCTTGCTTCAGCCCCTAACAACTTTAGTCACAAATGCTAGACCACAGCCAAACTTTATTTTATGCTTTCCTGTGATGGCTAGTCCATTTATAGGGCTGTCTGGATCTGATGCAGAACTTGGTAACAAATCAGTATCAGAATCACCCCAGAGGAAGATAAGTGGGTTATTGAGCCTAGCCGCCAATATTGGTGTTGGCAGCAATGGTCGAAACAGTTCAAATCCAGAGGTCTCCAAGAGTTCTAGTGAAACATCACGGTCTCAAAATGCCGCTATTAACATGGCTCAGAGTATTCGATGCCTACATCTAGCTTCAAGTAAGATATTCTCATTTGTCGTAGCCTTGTAATCACTGATTTGCTGTGTTAATTGTTTGTCAAACTTCTGTTTCCTAAATAGAAACACCTTCAGCCTGGTCAGAATGTGCTCTGGCTCTTCCAATCGACACTGATTTAGGCTGGTGTGCATGGTTGAGTGGTTTCTCCATTTCTTTGTGGTTGAGACTGGAACGAAGTGCTGCTCCTGAGAGCACTGTGCCTCAAGTTGATCATCCAGCTGGCCTTCACCGTAACTACAGTGGTCATCTGTCGGACAGTCTTTCAGACTCTTGGTCAGAATGGGGTGTAGTTTCAAGTGCCAGTTGGTTAAAAGAAGGTTGGTCTTCATGTCCGAAAGTCTGATTCACCTACCTTGTTTGCAATTCAATAATTTTGTAATTTTCATTATTTTTATAATTACTTTAGGGATAAGATCATCAAATAATTCTGAGCTAAGAGGCCACCTTCATGTTTTGTCCATTGGTACTGACAATCTTATGCTTGAAGTGTGGGCCGATGTCAGTTCTGATCGTTTGCATCTGAAATTGCGACGAAGTGATGCGAAAACAAATGACATTCTAGCTGAAAGTGTCACAGAAAGCATTCTCCCTCCAGGACAGTGGCATCATCTTGCTTTTAATGTCCATGATTACATTCTCCGTAAAAAGAGTGTCATAGAGGTAACATTTTCTACAATCTATTTTTTCAACATTCTTTGATTTGTGAAGCATTTGTAAATATTGTATATTTTACAGGTTACTATAATCATCAATGGACTTCGAGAAATAAAGTGCCCACTTCAATTCAATGGCATTGTTCTCCGTAAACCTAAGCCCACCTGCCTTCTTGTGGGTCATTCAGTTCAATTCACAAATGGTTTGGCAAACACTACTCCATTGAATCTTTCACATGGCCATGGTTCATGGTACTTAGGAAATCTGCAGCTGTTCAGATGCCCAGTATTCAATAGGGAGCGTGCTGTCTATCTAGTTGGTCTGGGCCCAAGCCATACTAGCTTGACTGACTGTAAAGTAGGCAGAGACAGTCCAAATTTCACAAATATATTTGGAGCTAAAATATTAAATTCTGGTGTTGCCTGGGATGCAGTCCTTGACAACGGTGTTGTCAACTTAAAAGAGCTCCAAGATAATCTACTTATCTCATACTCGGCTCAGAACCCTCTTACAATGAATGTGTACCCGCAAATAGTAGGTAGCTCAGGAGCAGGCATGGGATCACTTTTCCCTGGACAGCCTGGTTTTAGAGTTGTAACTCCTGACCAACGAGCAAGTCAGCAACTGCCCTTGGCCATAAAACCAATACAGTATGGTCCTTTGAACACACAGCAGTACAGAGGCCTCATTTCTGCTGTGTCTACTCTTGGTGGTGCTCATGTATTTTTGTTCCTTTTTGCCAGGGTAAGTGTTGAAAAGATATTATTATTTCACAGCTTTCATGAAAATGATGTTTGAATCAATAAGTTGCATTCACTTACAGGTAGTGGAGTTGAAGGCAAATGAAGTTGAGCAGGGTAAAGCCCTGTTCTTATTGCTAAAACTAGTACAAAGTGATACATCACTTTTCTCCCAGTTTGTGCAAGAAGATTGCCACAAACTACTTTTGAAAGTTCTTGCATCCCAGCGATGCATACCAGGGCATCACATGTTAAAAGTACTTTTCCATGCAGTTTTAATGATAACGTATTTTTTCTCCACATGATTTACTCATTCACAATTAAAATTGACTCATTTTCAGGCTGTATTAGATGCCTGCTGTGACAAGCCAGTGCTTCAACATCAACCTGGACCTCAGTGCCTGTTCCGAGTTGTGCACCAATCCGAAGCAATTGTTGTGAACTCCTTCCTGCTTTCCACCATTGTCGGCTCGTGGCGTGACTGGGAGCGAGTTGGCGTTGCGGGAGAGGAAGGTGGGGTGTTGGGGACACTCTTCCGTGCCCTGCATGTCCTCCTGCGAGATGACCACCCCTTCCGAGAATTCAATGCATCCCAGTTCAATAGAGTCAGACTGGTTGAGGCTTTACTCCTCTTTTGTAAAGTAAGAAATATTTTTCCTTATTCCTTGCATATAGTGTCTTCTTATTTCCTCTACTGACCTGATTTGATGTGATCTGATTTGCAGGAGAGGTTCCTTTATGAAGAATGGCAGCCTCTTCATCCGTCTGTTTGTTGCTCACTTGTGGAACTAGTAAGGTCACTCATGGGAGCCCCACCAGAATTTTCTCATGTTGTGGCTGTCGCTGATTGCCTACTCTTGCTGCATCCTGCGAGTGCCACTTACATTACCCATGTACGACCTAGCTACTACTTTCTGTTGTCTCCATCACCGCCATCAGCTTCACCTCAACTGCAGCCTCGTAGTAAGATTCGCTCAGGTGAGTGAATCTTCAAGGTGCTTCACCCCTTCCATATTATCAACATTTGTGACCCTTCAGTTCATTCGCAGGTTTATTTGAACATGGAGGGAAAGAAAAAAAGAATCAAACCTTAAACAAGAAGAAAGCTCTGTCGGTGGTAAAAAGAGAACATGCTGGAGGGTTTGGTCAGCCAGTGGACCCATCTAAACTCAACAAAGCATTAACAAATCTTCAGGTATATCTACATATTTAGCCTTTAAGTAATATAAGAAACAATTATTTGGTCTTCTGTGTGCCTACAATCGGCTGACATAACTTCAGATTGCAAATTTGCAGATCAAAAGAAACACTGATGAAGTACAAAATGGGAGAAATAGCTACATGAGTTCATCGACAAATCAAAATCTGGATGTGATTGACAGTAACAAAGTTGAAGAAGGCAGTGAAGCTAATGCATCTGATTTTGATGCCGATCTAGTTGAAGGCTGCGATGAATTAACTGCATTTGATTCGGGCATTGCGGGCAGCTTCCGCGACCAAGCAGGGAGTAGTGATGCCGATGTCAGAGAGAGTCATTCTGATGATAAGGAGAGCACCAACCAGAAAGAGCTGCATGATAGGGCAGACCTTCTCATGATGCAAGCTGAAGAGGAAAAGTTTACAACTGAAATGAACTTGGTAAATATATTTTACTTCATTTATTTTATGGTTTGTTAACTCTTGACTTATTTGCAACTCTTTTCGGTGCTTAGAATGAGAAGCAGTTTGTCAAAGATTGGTCCAAAGTGTCTCCAAGTCAGAAAGATCGTGGACGAAGTTCTAATACAGAGACTTCAACTCGAAGTGGAAATCCACCCATCAGTAGCAACAACTCACTGTGCCTTGTTGTGGAGGGGCTTCTCCTACTGCTCCGCGACACTCTTCTTGTGCTCCCTGATAACATGGCTTCCCAAGTTCTGAATCATGTTGTTCAGGCTGAGACACTGTTAGTGATGACCAACAACAGTGACGCTCGTGTGCGGTCAGCTGTTGTAAAGGTAACACTCCAAAAAATCAAAGAAATGAAAAAATGTGCTTGTGGTTGTTGGTTTCTGGTTGGTATTCAATGTCTTTTGTGTGTAGGTCCTAGGAGCATTCCTGCAAAGAGCTACAGAAGAAGAGATCAGTAAATTTTCAAGAATGAAAGGCTTCTACCAGCTGGCTAGTCAGCTTGGATTGTATCCTGCTACATCCGACCTCATAGAAAGCTGTGCTACTCTTGTAACTCAGCGCGGTGACACTAGCATTGAGGAGCTTCTGGTGTCTCTAACGGAACAGCTTGACCTAGATCAGCTATCCATGTCACCGCTGCAGCTGTCAGCGTTCCCTCCCCTTCTGGGGCTGCTGCCGCGTGCAATCCATGACGTAGCGCTCACCCACAACACCTTGGCCTTTGTCAAAGAAGTCCTGCAACAAGTGAGGGGGGCAATGAAACCGTTGTTGGAGGCAGGTCTTTTGGAAGTGCTTCTCAAGATGCTGGTGTTGGTTGCACATCAACCTCCAGAACCTACAGACATAGTGGGGACGTGCACTCAAGACTTGCTCATTTCTGATATCAATATTTTCCTCCTGTCCATCATGTCACTTGCCTTAAGTACTCCAGGAAACCAAAGCATCCAGGTATGTCTCTGACCAATACATAATTAGATAAATAATCTTAAGCATAGAAAAAAAAAAGTTTGATTAAATCATTTTTTATTTTAACCAGATACTTAATGACATTCAACTACAATTGACATTCCTACATCAATTGGAGTCCAGTAGTTGTGGAAAAGCAGCTCGCTGTGTCTCTGTTCTGCAGGATGCCCACTGCACCATTCTAGATGGCACTTTGAGCTTGCTTATTGAAAAGCTATCGTCACATCCAAATCAAATGAAAGGCCAGTCCCTCCTGTCTGCAAGTTACGATGACAAGTTAGGCTGGACTAGGGCCCTGGATTCAGGCCATCTTCGTGTGCCTGTCATGTCACTGTCTCTTTCTCATCATAGCTCTTTCAGCTCCCAAAGTGGGAGTCTTTTGCGTACTAAACCATTGAAAGATGTCTCTAGGTCAGAGTTGTATGAACGATTTAAGATAGTTGTTGAAAAGGCTGTTGAATTTTTCACTTATTCTGGTAAGTAAATTGTATCAAGTTGGAACATTTTGTAGCTTCTGTTTCCTTCAAAGTCAAATTTATTTGAACTGTTCCCTTATCTGGGTCATCTTTTCAGAGCCTCGGGATGAATCTCTGGTAATATTCAGTGAAGTAGAACAAACATTTGCTAGGCGCCTTTTTGCCACCCTACTTGAAGGCCTGTGCAGTGTTGTTGATAGAAGGAGTGTGGACAGCAAGTCTCTGTGGAGTGGGGCAATGTGGGCAGCAAGAGACACCTTAAGGTATGACTGGTTAATGTAAAAGTCGAAATTAATTTCATACTTATTTTATTTTTGTAGCTTACTAAATTATTTTTGTGTTTTTAAGGGTGAGAAGTGCCCAACTGTTTGTATGGTTGCTGACTCCTTGGCAGCCTTTAAAAATGCGAATGTTTACCATTCACTCCTTGAGATCAGAACCAAGAGCTAAGGAACTGATTACATCCATGCTTCATACTCGTGCCCCGGTAATCATCTGAAAAAGAAAAATTTGTGACAATTTTTTCAGAAGTGATGGAGAGGGTTGAATGGTCAAAATTTTGATTTTCCAGGTGGAACAGAAGTTCACAGTTTGGCTTTGGGCTTTAATGTATGGGCAAGGGGTGCACCAATTGCAGCCAGCAGACTTCCGTGCTTGTGAAGAACTCAAAGAACAGCTCCAACGCTGGGGTGTTCTTTCACCACATGCGATTGGTCATTCCCATGACAACTGGGAAGGGGAAGTCACTTTATTGCTGCGGGAAGCTGAGAGGCAGCGACTTGCTTTTGTAGCTCACAGTCGTGATGCCATGGAAAAGTTAGTTTTTTCACTTGTCAAGTAGTAAATCAGGAATAAATGGTGATAATAATAATAATAATACATTTTCTAGGAGTGTGCACAAGATGGAACACTTGCACCGCACCTTGGTTGATGGGGCAATGACTGCAACTCGTAGTGTAGTGGAAGCTCAAAATAGCGAGCGGAAAGTCTTCATGGAGCATATTAAGGGCACTTTCAATGAGAACGTACAGTTACGGCTAAAGTGGCAACAGTTAATCCAGTTGCTGACTCATGAGAGAGCTGTATGGTTCTTCCCTGAATCTTATCCTATGTAAGCCTCTTGTCTCTTATTGTTTCTTTGGCTTCTTCAAATTTTATTTCCTCTGTTTTTCTTTTGACACTTTCTTACATACCTGCAGGTCTTGGCAATTGGATGCAACTGAAGGGCCAGCCCGAGTAAGAAAACGACTTCAGCGATGTCACTTGCACATTAAGGATAAATTTCTACTACCCGAACACCAGGAAAAACTTGGTACTGTTACATTTTAACAATCTTTGTTTTATATTTTTCTTCTTTCTACCAATTCATAAATTAAAATAATTCACTTTTATGTGCAGAGCATGTAAGAACCCCTGCTCCTCTTCAGTACTTATTTGAAAGAGATCCTAATGCATCCTCTACCTCAACGTCATCTGTGATGATTGATCGTCTACACACAAACGAGAAGATTCAGTTTATGTGTGCTGCTCACATTATAACTCCCGCATGTGAGATCCCTGGAGAACTCTTGATAGGAGAGAGCTCTTTGTATTTTGTTGTGGATGATAGTGTAAGTAATCTGGCCAGTTTTTTTTTTTTTTCCTTCTCTCTCAAGTTTTATTTTTAAATTTGAAATTACTCAAAGCATTATTTCTTTTAATAATAATAATAATAGGTTGAGTCTGGAAGACTGGACATTTCTTCAACTGCTTGGCAATTTGAAGATGTGAAGGAAATAATAAACAGAAGATTTCAGCTTCAAGAAAGGGCCCTTGAAATTTTTCTACTAAATGGAAGGACATATCTTGTAGCCTTCCAGACAGCAGAGGTTTGTAATACTTAATTTGTGTTTTCAACTTATGTTGTTTACATTTTTATTTTTTAACTTGCCTTTCTCTTTTTAATCTTGTTATAGGAAAGAGATGCATTTTTGCTAGAGCTTGCCCAATGTGAACTTGTGAATAGAATGCAGGGAGAGAATCTATCTGATGTTTTAGAAATGTGGCGCGAGGGAACAATAAGTGATTGGGAATATCTCACTCAATTGAACAAAATGGCTGGTCGTTCTTACAATGACTTGATGCAATATCCAGTTTTTCCATTTGTTCTTGCTGATTATACCTCTGCCAGTCTGGATTTGAATGATGCAAAATCGTTTCGTAACTTCAAAAAACCTATGGCAATACAAAACAAGTGCAATGAACAACACTACATTGATACATACAATGTAAGATTTGAACAGTGCTTTTTGCACTTTCTTCTATCATATTCTCATGAAATTTTTCAGAGTACTCTCTAATAATTTTCTTTATGATTTTCTAGTATGTGAAGCAAGAGCTTTCTGAGGGGCTGGACTTGGCTGGGAGACATGAACCATATCACTATGGATCTCATTATTCCAACTCTGGAATAGTTCTTCATTTCCTTGTACGCCTCCCGCCTTTCACTGGCATGTTTTTGCACTATCAAGGTAAATGTCATTTCAATTTTGTTGAAAAAAAAACTCTGGCTTTGTCTAGGATTTTATCTTAATTATCGATTTTTTCTTTAGATGACAACTTTGACCTACCAGACCGAACATTCCATTCTCTGCACACAACATGGCGTCTTACTAGTTCAGACTCCACCACAGATGTGAAAGAGATGATACCAGAGTTCTACTTCCTCCAAGAATTTCTTGTCAATTACGAAGGTAAGCTTGTACATTTGTTTCTACAGCTTACATGCTGTTATCAAGTTACTCTACAGCTACAGAATAACTTGAACATTTTTTATTTTGAAGGCTTTGATTTTGGAGTTAGGCAAAGTGGAGAAAGGGTGGATTCTGTGCAATTACCACCATATTGCCTAAATAATCCACGCCTTTTTGTCTTAATCCATCGACAAGCTCTTGAATCTGCCCATGTAAGGGAAAATATCCCTCATTGGATTGATCTTGTGTTTGGATATAAGCAGTCAGGAAAAGCTGCTGTTGACGCCATCAATGTTTTTCATCCAGCTGTAAGTGGTCCTCATTTATGCTTTCCTAATATGCAAAACTTGAAACGGTCTCAAAATTTTTATCTTTCTTCTCTTTTTAGACGTACTGTGGGTTTGATATTTCAACTATTAAAGATCCACTCGAAAAGATGGCAAGAGAGACAATGGTGAAAACTTATGGGCAGATGCCTCGTCAGTTATTTCGTTCTCTTCATCCAATGGCACAACAGTCTTTGACTTTGAAAGCTGTCAGTCACTCTGTGGTATGCCTTTAACCCTCAGCGATTTTGGGAAACTATCGGCACATAAACCATTTGTTTGAAATGTAATTTTTGTTGTTCCAGCCACCTGTTTTGCCCTCTGTCCAAGGCCTTTCATGGGGAAGCTACGTGGGTTCTCCCGCCGATCCCGAACCCGTTCTTGTGGCTAAGCACCAGCATCACACTGTAGTCGCTGATCTCATTCCATTACATTCCAATGATGCATTTGGACTGGGACCCCATACCTCTATTCTGCTATGCTTTTCGAAAGAAAAAGGTAGGTAAAGTGGTTAATTTTCTAACTTTGTTTGTTGCTTCTTTACAAGCCTCTAGACATCCCATTCTTTAATTTCAGCCCTGAGCTTAATGAACAGCTCAGTTGTTCAAAATGTTGCACTAGCAACATGGGGGCATGCCGATTCCATTGTTAGAATCAAACTGAAGAAAGAGCAGCCACCATGGCCTGTGGTCAGGGCACCAGAATTGGATCCGGTCAGTACTTGTTTGACTGTGCTTCCTCATTTTCATGATTGTGTTCCGATCAACCTTGGATCAATCTATTTTCACAGATTTGCGTCTGTGCGAGTGTGCCAGACTGTCATCAGCTGTGGATGGGCCACCTTTCTGGGCGCTTGGTTGTGTACCGGTACAGCTTTGAAGCTGTCAGAGGCCAGCTGGACTTCAACAGTGACCCAATCACACTTTTGGGTCACACCAGTGCAATTCTCAAGATACATTTGAGTCGCAGTTTCAGTATAGCTGTCAGTGCAAGTCAAGATCAAACGGCTATAATCTGGGACCTAAACAGGTACATTTATCTAGAATTCAATCAAGTTTCCCTTTGTTTTATATAATTGACATAATTACCACAAAATTACCAATAACTTTTCTATTACAGCTTATCGTATGTGCGAACAATACATTTAGGATCATCTGTCAGTTTAGTGAGTGTAAGTGAGACCCTAGGTGACATTGTCACTGTATGCCACAAATCTCAACAATTTGAAATGTCCAACACATTCCATCATTCTTACAACCCATGGGAAGCCAAAGGACCTTCCTCTTCCTGTCCAGTAGAAGTCAAAGAGGATATTGTGTCGGACACAGATTCTCCTTCTCCAGGAGTTCCTGATGACTGGGAAGTTCTGCATGAAGCTGAGACGGCGAAAGAATCTGACTCAAGAGAATCTCGCTCTTATTCTTGGTCACTGAAAGGCCTACCGAAACTGGGTATGAAGGGAAAGCAAGGCAATGAACCAATGAGCAACTCCAAGAAAAATTTAAACAAGCCCCTGTTGCAGTCTGTCAAAGGATCATCCTTGTCCCTTCATACTGTGAATGCTGCTTTAGTTGGTACCGTGAATATCTCTGAACAAATAACAGCTGTTTGTTTCTCTACTGCTCCAGAAGGTCTTTCAGTAAATGTCATTGCCACAGGATTGTTCAATGGTTCTATTCGGTAGGTTGCTGTCTTTGAGAAACTAAACTTTTGTCTTTTGACTAAAATTTTGTTTTGAAAGCTCTTTGAATCTGATGTTTTGTTTTGATCTTTGCTGAAATTTTAGCCTATGGAGCTCTTGGGATTTATCACCAGTGAGAGAAATCAGTTCCCCTGGTCTAACTTATCCAATAATAAGGTAATCCAGTAATAAATTTTTATGTGCAGCACATTCTTTTGCTAACACTAAACTGCTAACTGTCTCCTTTATTTGTATTACAGCCTGACCTACTCCCAAGACTCTCAACATCTGTATGCATCTTCATCAGATGGTGTTGTTGCAATCTGGGAAGGTGGTGGAATCAAAGCAGCAAACAAAACTCCAAAGTTTTTCAACCTCACGTTTATGTGAGCCTCTTTCACCTTTGGCTAGAGCAGCACACACCAAACAATGGTGATAGTTCTCCACTCAGATGTTGTTGTGGAAGGCAAAGTCAATGAGGAGCGTCTGTCATTCCAATTTTAAAAAATTGAAATGCATTTCAAAGAAGCATAACAACACTTTATGGCAGCTTATCTTATATTATTGTCTACTGCAGTGTTACATATGTAGCATAACACATCAGTGTCATAAGCCTGTAGAGTTAATTTATTTTAAGCTGTGTCTATTGCCAGACATTTCTTTTGCATGTGCATGAGAAGTGTGCATAAGTCTGATAGCAGTAGTGTCGATTTTCACATGCAAACTGTCCTCTAAAAATCTCCTGAGGCAGGTCTTATACAGTGCTTAGTTTGAGAATTTTTATAAATTGATGCTTTTTCTTTGCACTTAAAGTACTGTTGCTGTGACATCCTTCATGATGTTAGCACCATCTCCTGACCAATTTTAATTAATTTGTAACTTCTACTTTTTTATAGTCCTTTGCCAGTGATATTAGTTTCATGTCAATGAGATCTTAGTATTTTATTCTTTTGAGCCAGTGTTTTATTGATACTACTAGTCATGTGCTAAGAGAATACTTTAATGGTGATGAACCATAGTTTATCATTCTTTCCTTGTCGAAGTCATGCATATTCTGAACTATCGTGCCAATTTTCAGAACCTGCTCTTTATCATTCTTCCTCTGTGCCAGATTGTTTTGTGATGTTGCATTTCATATTTTATACAAGTATTACCAAGTTTGTCAATGTTTTGTACTGTATTTTTTTATTGACATATTTTTGCATCCTAGCTATATCAAATTTGAGCTCCCCCCGCCCATGTATCTATGAACAACTGTGTAATGTGGTTCATTTTATACTGTAAAGAAAAAACTGTGATTTCATTTTCATGGATTATTTAATGTTATGTTGTATCATTTATAGGTGGAAGTGTACTTATTTTATTAATACTATGTTAAATTTTATACATAATATATCTACCTTCTGTTAAGAACTTAAAGCTTATTGTGGTGGTTGCTTGTCTCTTTTTAATAAAATCAATGATAAAGTTAAAGCTTTGACTTGTATTGAAAATTTTTCCCTCAAGTGATGCATTATACGAATAAAAGTTTCACATGAGAGTGCAATGTTTGAATCCTCTCTGAGAAAGATAGGGAGGGTGCAAATTACGAACACAAAGATTTCTAGTCTTAAAGATACATTTGTTTAATTCTTTTTAAAACAGACATTAAAAATGAAAAAATCCAAGATAGAAAGAAAGGAAAATGTCAATACCTTCAGTCTTATGAAAATATTATAAGAGGAAAAAATAAAAAACAAGTAAAGAATCATTAAAAAAAAACCTAGACCAACTCCTTGCAACAGACTAGATTTGTTTGGTCCCATGGATAATTAGTCAGACAAACCACTAAGAAATAGCAAAACAGAAACAAAGGTGATGAAAAAAAAGGACTACCAAATTTATCACTTGGCACAACAATGCATTCAATCTTATTTACTAAAATGTTAACAGGGGGTTACACAAATCGAATTGTACTTCATAAGCATACAGTCCCTCCAAATACTGCAGACTGCAAACTTGGGGTGGGGGAAAAAGTGGAGATTTGTGGAACACCCTATGTATCACATAGTGAACAGGGATAGCCTCATAGTCCATAGCATTCCTGGAGGACAAGCAAGCTCTATCTGAGCTTAATAATTTAAAGACGCTCTCAAGGAAAGAAAAGAATCAAACAAAAAAAAAACAACATGATATCATGTAATAGATCTATACAGATACATTATTCATAATAACCACAAGTGCTGCATGCCTTGCTTAGAGAAAATGTAAGATTTACAAGCTTAAACCCAATCCATAAATTATCCTACATACAAAACACAAAAAATCAAAATGATACAATCATACTGCTAATAAAAGCCGCCACTGTACTGCAAAGCTGGTTTGGGGGCAGCCATGTGAGTTGCATAGTGCTCCTGAAGTGCAAAGAGAGATGGAAAAACCAGGCCACAAACTGAACAGTGAGCACCACTTTGGCTGGAAAGTTCCTGAAATGAAGCAGCTCCATCATTCACCACTCCACTTGAGGCAATGGTTGTGATCTGATGCTGTTGCGTCCAGCCACTGTAGGTTGCATTTTGGCTGGGGAATGCAGGGTAGTTTAGAGGTGCAGCATAAGGCAAAGGAGCAGGAGGAGCAGCAGCACCATAATTTGGGTACGAATGGAACACATAGTAGTGCTCCTGGAGGGCGTACCAGGACGGCAGGCATAAACCGCAAAGTGGGCACGTATTGAGTGCGTGGACTTGATCAAATGATGAGTTCACTGGTGGCTCAGGTACAGGATGGATGGATGGCGCCGGTAAACTCAGCATTGGTGGCATTTGGTATTGAGGTGTTTGAGGTGCTGGCCTCCACTGACTGTCAGTAACATCAGCACTTTGTTGGCCTGCCTCATATGGCACAGGAGCCACATCACCTTTTAAGTAGCTGTTGGTAAAGGAATAATTTTCCATGGGGGTGCTACAAACTGATGTGCTTCCACAGTTGTAGTTAACTGAAGCAGAACTGTCCGTAAATGAATATGAATCGTTTTCATGACTGCTGATATTTTCCACTGGTGCTGGATGATGTTGCAAATCTTCATCTGAAGGTGTTGCAGTGGATCTGCCATGTTCTTCTTGGGGTTCTTTGCTGGCAACTTCTGATTTGGCCAAGTTTTCCTCCAGCCCTTTATCAGAAGTATGGCAATCACTCATATCATTTTCAGTAATTGTCTCTGAAACAGGAATAACTGGTACGTCTGATTCTTTCTCAAGACCTGCAGGAGTACTTCTGTCACATGAAGGTTCACTTTCATCACAGCTTGAACCAGGATCTACAAAATCTTCTCGTGGATACTTGCGCTTTACAGCCCTTCTTGACTTCCGTGTGGGTTCACTCCAGGAGTGGGTCATCAAATGATTTTTTAAGGAGTGAGGATAAGAGAATCCCTTACCGCAGACATCACAAGTATGAGATGCTTGTTCGGCATGCATTAATATACGATGGCGTTTCAGACAAGAAACTGTTCTGTAAGTCAGAGAGCAGTCTTTGCACTTAAGAATTTCCAATTCTTCTTCAAGATCATCCGAATTTCTTTCCACTTCAGGCGTCCCTTCAGAGTTCACCATTTCTGGATTGTCATCATTGCTTTCTTTGGGACTGATTAAAGAATCAACAGTTTCTCCCTCAGAACCTGTTGATTTCCATTGGGGTTCATTTTTGGAGTGAGTCATCCCTTCCGGATTCACTATTTCTTGATTGACATCATTGCTTTCTTTGGGACTGGTTGAAAAATCAAGTGTTTTCCCCTCAGAAGCCATTGATTTCCATTTGGGTTCATTTCTGAAGTGAGTCATCACATGATTTTTTAAGGTGTGAGGATAGGAGAATCCCTTACCGCAGACATCACAATTATGAGATGCTTCTTCAGCATGCATTAATATGCGATGGCGCTTCAGACAAGAGACTGTTTTGTAAGTCAGAGAGCAGTCTTTACACTTATGAGTTTCCAATTCTTCTTCAAGATCATTCGACTTTCTTTTCACTTCAGCCATCCCTTCAGAGTTCACCATATCTTGATTTACTGCATTGCTTTCCTTGGGACTGGTCAGGGACTCAGGTGTTTTACCCTCAGAACCTTCACTGTGAGTTTCTAAATTATGAGCAGCCAATAGCTCATCACTCTTAAAATAGAGTGGACAGGAGCGACACTCAAAATGATCATGAATAGTTCGTTTATGCCTTCTTAGGTCAGATTTCCTTGTGAACGTTTTGGTACACAGTTCACATTTACTTTCCTCTGATGTCTTTAATTTGAAGTGTGATGGCAGCTTAGTGTTTTTGCCTCCATCCTCTTCCACATTCTTATGCTTTAATTTCTTGTGGAATCTTAGACTTCTAATGTCAACAAAAATTTTATCACAAAGAGTGCATTTGAATTTACAAGTCGCTCCATGGACTTTAATATTATGCCGCTCTAAGTACCCTTTAGCACTGAAATCAATTTGGCACATATCACACTTCAACTTGACACTGTCTGGATTAGGTTGTGGTGGAGAAGCAACCGGTTCCTCCATGGATGTTTCAGACGGGATGGAGGGGCCAGGGTCTGAAGTGAGTACATCAGCAGGATTGATGCAGTTTGTTTGCTCTTCATTGCTGTTTTCACCCCTGCCTGCAGCAGTAGAATCTACTAAAGAGGCATTAGTTTCCATTGTTGCTGACTCAATGTCTTCACAAGTAGATTGCCCATTTCCAGGATTACCAAACTCGAACACATTCTTCTCAGCAGCACACATATTTTTCTCTACAATTGTCACATCATTAACTGGACTGTTAGGAGAGACCACAGGAGCATAAGAATCTTGATCCTCAGCTGATGAAGCTGAATTACTTTTATTGTTACTCTGTTCAATATGCGACTGAAGTTGAAGTTCTGGCCTAAATTTGTGAGCTCCGATTTGATGCTGCACTAAATGTTGACGCTTCTTGAAGTGCTTCTTGCATATGCTGCATTTGTGACGATGTTTCTTGACTTTACTGAAGGAAATAACAAGAGGAGGTACTGAAGCTTGACAGTTTTCAGTGAGTCTGGGTGATTTGGCAGGGCGTTCCGGACTAGACAATTTCTCAGGAGAATTATCTTTTACAATTCTCCATTTTACTTTCTTGGGTTTCCTTATTTCACTCTTTTTTGGTGAGGCGTTACCTGTTTGCAAATTGCAAGCATGGTTCTCAGCATCAAGAGATCCAGAAGTACTTTTAGTAGGCTGTTCCGGGCTGGAAGTTTCCTCAAAAGAGGTATCTCTAACAAATTTCCATTTTGTTTTCTTGGTTTTCTGTAGATTTTCCTCTTTTGGTAAAACAGAGTCACAGGGCGATTTGGAGGCATCATCCTTGGCATCAGGGGTCTCAAGACTAGTTTCAGCAGTGCTTGCTAAAACATCTTTCACAGTAGAGGTGTTTACGTCTTCAGGGCTCACCAGTTTACTAGGTGAAAACTCCACATTGTTTGCAGGTTCCATAGACTCTAACACAAAAGCATCAGTGTTTAAAGAAGAGGAGTGATGTTTCGAAAGATGGAATTTCAATGTTTGAACATAGCAGAACCTTCTTAAGCATAGAGGACATTTAAAGGTCTCACGATGTGCTTGGTTCATGTGAGATGTCAGCCCACCTTTACCTTTAAAAAGCTTGTTGCAGATTGAACATTTGGTGACATCATCATCATTACAAGGAGTAGGATTTTCACGATGTGCTTGAACCATATGAGATGTTAGACCAGCTTTGCCTTTGAAAAACTTGCTGCAAATTGAGCATTGGCTATTAATGTCTCTGCTTTCAGGATTTGAGCTATCTGTGACGGATGGAGTCTCCTTCAAAGCTGTATTGAGGTCATCACTTTCCTTTGATGGACTGCTTTGGGCTGTGGGGCTTTCATCCGTGTGCTCAGTTCCTGCTAAATTCTTGGAAGGTGGTTTTTCAGTCATCTGTAGAGCTGTCTTGATTGAAGATCCACGTTGAGCTTTGTGACGTTTGGCCAGAAGCACAGCTGCTTTCCTGAAGAGACTGCTCTTGAGCACATGGCCTTTCCCTGGTTGGATGGGTGTATCCATGGAAGGATTGGACTTATCTTTGTGACTCTTTGCTACATGCACAGCCAACTGTTGCAGACGAGCAAACTTTTTACCACATATATGGCATTCCACTGAATATTTCTCATCATGGGCCTTTGATTTATGTTCAAGTAGCGCAGAAAAGCTTTTGCATCTGATTTTACACTTCTCACAAATCAACTTTTTGCGCTTTATAGTGGCTTTCATCTGAAGATATGAGAGATAAGGTGACACATAAGTTTCTGTAGAGTTTGGAGTAAGTTGGCTTTGACCACTTTTATCATTTACTTGCACTAAATCTTGAGCACATTCAATTTGTTGTGGATTAGCGTCAATTAATCGATCAAACTCCTCTGAAGTAAACTTTTCTCTGATAACAGCTTTCAAACAGGTGTGCTCTTCCAGGATTGTTTGAGAGTAGAACCACTGTGAGCAATTGTCACAGTTAAATCTGCCCACATCATTTCTTTGGTAGAGTCCCTCTCGCCCATACCTATGTCTTTTGAAGTATTTCATTTCCGTCATCAATTTGCGGAATGCATACAAGTTGGTACGAAAATGTGATATTGTTGAACGCTTTGATTTCACACTTACGGAAGTATTTTCATTTCTAGCCAGAATTATATCTTCTGTTGGGTTTTCCACAGTTGTAAAAGAGTTCAATGAAAACTCATCTTCATTTGTAGATTTGCATAACTGCATACTGCATACTTCAAATGGTTTTGCTTGAGTCAAAGTTAATTTTGGATCTGTCTTATTAGGTACATCTTGCATTTTAATTCTGTCAACTACCCTACTTTCAGACACGTGAGTTTGAAGATTTTCTGCCAAAGGCACCTCAATACTGGCTGATTGCTCAGAATTAACAGTTAGGTCCTCTGGACCCCTAGTTTCTTCAACAGCAATGTTGCTGTCCAAACATGAAATCAGAGCCTTAATCTCATGGTCCAATGCAGTGTCATTACATACATCTTCTTCAAATCCATCTTCAGAGAAAGGGCTTGGAGCAACAGGGGTCTCAAACAAGTCCGTTTCCAAATCATTATTCCTTTTCAATTGTTTCACTTCTTCATTGACAAAGTTGCAAGAGGATTCTTCTACGGCTTTCACTGCTGTGTTTTCATCTCTATTGGGATGATTTATTTCCAATTGTTGGCTCTTCTGAAGAATTGTGTTTTCCTTTTCCAGTTCATTGTCATGTTTGTTTGGAGGCAAATTAGAAGATTCTTCAACAAGAGATGGGTTTTCCTTAGTACAAACAGCCTCTTCTGAGGAAAGTGTAGGTACATTGGAAGAGCTCTTCACATTTAGCAAATGACTAGTGACAGCTGCTTCAACTAATGGTACGTCTCCTTTCACATTTGTACTGCCTCCGTTGTCAGACACATCATGCTCTGAAGTATTGCTTTCCAACTGTGTGCTCTTCTGAAATATCATGCTTTCCGTATTTTCCTCTCTTGTATGTTCATTTACAGGCAAATGAGAAGATTCTTGGACGGGAGGCAGGTTTTCCATGCTACACAAAGTCTCTTCCTGTGGCATCATGCTTTCTGTATTAACTTGTTTTTCATGTTCATCTATAGGCAATTGAGAAGATTCTTGGATGGGAGGCAAGTTTTCCTTGCTACACAAAGTCTCCTCAGCAGCGTGTGAGTTCAGAGTTGACTCTGCAAGAGAAATGGCAGACACATCTACCAAATTAGCAAAAGCTGAGCTTGATTTTGTTAATGACACATTATTTTCAGAATCTGATCTGTTTAAATTGCCAAACAGATCTTGATTTAAATTAGTGCTTTCGAACTGCTTGCTCTTCTGAAACATGGCACATTCCATTTTATGTTTACTGTCAAATTCATTTGTAGGCAAATTGGAAGCTTCTGGGATCGGAGGCAAATTTTCCTTACTGCACAACGTCTCTTCAGATGACGGTAAGTTTAAATAAGAGCCTGCCAGAGAAGTTCCGGGCACATCTGCTGGAACAGCTAAGCTACAATTTGTAGGAGATATTTTTGCAAATACAGGACGGCCAACAATTTCTGAGACAGCATTCTCCTTTAACAGTGGAACCATTCCTTTAGCACCCGCAAATACAATCCCAGGGCTGCTGAGAACAGGCTGGGCAGCCGTTGAAGAGTTGGGTGCCAGCTGAACATCACTAAGAGCTGAAATTGATTGTCTCGTCACATCGGAATCAGGCTTTTGTAGAGTAGAAACCACTTCTGAAGGTTGCTGTTGAATTTGAAATGGGGATTGAGTAGAGCTTTCATTAAGTAAATATTTGTTTTGAGTTGAGGTTGTTTGAGCAGTAGGCCGTAGTCTTGCAAGAATGGAATTGGGAATCCTAGAAGCAACCGATGTAACAAGTGGGGGAACGGCAGAGGCACCAGGAGGTAGCTGTATGTAAATTACATTGGTTATAGGTCTGACAGTATTAGCAGCAGAAACTGCTTCCACCATTCTATCTGGTAAAACTTGATTCAAAGCAGCAAACTCTGGTATTTGTGCTGGAGTAAATGGTTTCTCATAGGGAATTGACATCTCTGCTGCTTTAGAATTATTTCGAATTGAAACCTTCTTTGATTCCTGAAATTCTTTCCTCTGAGGCAAAACAGTTGCAATTTGTCTGAACCCATGTTTCAACATGCTGCGTTCCTTTCTTAGCATTTTGTTTATACTCATAGGTGGCTGTGCTCTTTCGATAAAATCATCTCGTGAAGGTCTCTCCTGCGTAGTACTTTCAGATGGTGGTCTACTGGGTGTGATGACCTGAGTCATAAATTCAGATGATGGTCTTTCAAAGATGATATCCTGAGAAGTACATTCAGATGATGGTGTATCAAAGATGATATCCTGAGAAGTACATTCAGATGATGGTCTATCAAAGATGATATCCTGAGAAGTACATTCAGATGATGGTCTATCAAAGATGATATCCTGAGAAGTACATTCAGATGGTAGTCTATCAGGGACGATGACCTGAGTCATCGATTCAGATGATGGTCTTTCAAGAATGATATCCTGAATAGAACATTCAGATGGTGGTCTATCAGGAACGATGACCTGTGTCATCAATTGAGATGGTGGTCTATGAAGTATGGTATCCTGAGTGGAGCATTCAGATGGTGGTCTATCAAAGATGATGTCCTGAGAAGTACATACAGATGGTGGCCTATTGGAGATATCCTGAGAAGTGCATTCAGATGGTGGTTGCAGCTCAGTTTCTTCTCGCACCATGCTGTGCTCATCACTTGGGGGAGTTGCTTGAACACTTCCGTTTAGAATAAGTGATGACTGGCTTGCTGTGTTATCCATAAGATGAGGATGAGGCACAAAGTGGTCACTGGCAATGCGGTCTTCATAAATTGGCACCACATTCTTCTGAGAAGTATCAACATTAATTTTTGCACTTGACTGTTCTTTTGCTGCAATATTTATACTGTTAAAAGAATGAGGATGCTTGGCAGGTATTGTTTTCCTACAAGACGGATGCTTCAGAGGCTTTGATTTCTTGGTAAGAGTTTGTCGAGCTTCTTTTGACATAACTTCCAGGATTTTCTGGAGCGGGTCTTGTTCTGTATCACTCGCAGCAGGAGGTTGGAATTCCTCATCAACATTTTGTCCAAGGCCTTTTGGTGCTTTTTTAATTGATTTTCCACTTGACCCAACTCTCTGTTTTTTCTGCTTTCTTGATTTTATGTTGCCCTCCTGATTCTCCACCACACCCACTGTAAGGGCATTTCTGCACTTCTTACCAGCACCTGTAGCGCCTTTGGCTCTTTCAGTACCCTGCGAGGCATCTGGTGTCATTGCCCAGTCCAAGGGTAAAGCATACGAGTGTTCCTCTAGGACTGAATATTTTCTTGGTATGACCAGAGAGAATTCTGTGTTCTCTGTTTGAATCGTTGGGGAGGACTCAATAACAATTTCAGTATCACATGAAGATGATGACACAAATACTTCAGATGAAGCCAATTGGCAAGGAGCTTCACCAGCTTTTTCAGGAACCACAGACAGTTTTGGTAGCATTTCTGAGTTAGATATTACATCCTCACATTTGTCCAGTGCTTCAGATCTGTCCTTGTTACTATCATTGTCATAGTCATCAGTAGCACCTATACCACTGTCCCCATCTTCATTTCCATCACTGTGACTGTCTGCACCCAAAAGCACATCACTACCTGTTTGTGCAGGGGGAGCAGAGATGGAGCCATGCAATTCAAGAAGTGATTCAGCTGCTTCAGTCACGTCACAATTATTTTCTTCAAAATTACAATCATCCCAATTAAATAGATTAGCACCACCTTCAACATTGACAACAGTTAATGTCAGTTTATTACTATCTTCACTTTCAACATCTGTCGCTGGGGTAAAAAATTGGGCGACATCAGAGTGTTCCTGTTGCATTTCAAAGGTAGTTTTGACGGGGTTTCTTAAACTCTCACAAGTTTCAAAGGTGGGCATGGTAGGCTCACTATCACACATTTCCTGTTCAATCAACAACTCATCTTCATCTAAGGTATGTTCTATTTCAAACACTTCATTTTCTATCACAGAAAGGTTATCTTCATCACCTGACAGCATACCCTCAGGAGTTGAATCAGGACGAGTCACTAAAGCATCAATGCTCTTGAGGCTAATGTCTGGTTTAGAAATACAGTCATAATTTTCAGTATTATCAGAATCCTCTAAATTGCTTTGAAGGCTTTGTTTCCGTGTTAGGATAGAGACAGATTTAGTATTTGAACTTATTTCAGGTAACTTATTTTCTTTGACTCCATGCAACAACTTCACTAATTTATCTAATGATGATGGAGCTTTGTCTGAATTAAGGCGAGACTTCTGTTCCAGTGGTGATCTTGATCTTGAATCCGCTACGAGATTGGTAGGCTTCACAGGTCTCTCTTGATATTCCACTGGTTCAGGGGAACTACAAGGCGAAACTGATGGTAGAGGTGGCTCTGAAATGTTTTCTGGAAGTTGTTTGTGATGCATTATGCTGTACAGCACACCATCTATCATTTGGAGTCCAACTTTTGACCACTCTGACAAAATGTGCGTAACAACATGCTCCAGGCATAAACTTTTTCCTGGGAAAAATTTGGCACATTTCAGACATTGTACAGATGTTCTGCATGATAATATATGCGTCCTAAGAGCTTTGGAATGGCTAAAAGTACTGTGGCATTCAGAACATCGGAAGGGTGGGATGCTTTCTTCACAGCTGATGAGATGTACTGCTAAGTATTTAGCAGCGGTGAAAGACAATTTACAGCCACTGCAGGTGAAATCTGCAATGTAATGTGTCTGCATATGATTTGAGAGTTTCTGCAAATGGGAGAACTCAGAGCAGCACTCAGGACATGGTAGCCTTTTCAAAACCCGTCTTTCATCTCTCTCTCTACGAGCCTCCCTGCATTGTCGAACATGTTTGACAAGTGCCACCATGTTTAAACAGAGACGAGGACACCACGGGCAAAACAGCATTCCACCTGCAAAATTATTTTCATTTAAATCCTCTACACAACAATCTTTTTGAGAATAACACACGACTGTCAGCCCTCACATAACTTACCACCTTGTTCTTGAAGGGAATCATGATGTTTTTTTAGTGCTTTCAAGTCTCCTGCCACAATATTAGGATTGCCACAAAAGTAGCTATGGATTTTAAGGTGATCTTTAAATGAGAATGGCAAAGTACATCGAGCACAGCTAAGACCATCTGAAATAGAACAACAACTTTTTTTATTCATCAAAATATTTGAATATTCCAAAACAAGGGAAGGACATAATGGAACGGGAAACTTACGAATTGTAAGCAAATCTTTTTCCAACTGCTTTTCTTCATGCTCATGAGTTTGAATTAGCGAAACAAGTTGTAGGTGATTTCTGTAAAATATAGAAAGATTTATAAGCATAGATGTAGCAGCTACAACCAAATATTGCAAGGAATTGTAAATGGATATTACAATCTGTAACAATCTTCGTACTGGAAACCCCTAAATGCTGGTCCTGCTTTGCGGAAAAGTTGTGTCTTGGCTTTTATTTTCTGAAAACAAAACCATTATTATTTTGATATGACATAATATAAGCACTTCATTAAAAATTAAAGGCAGTCTGAGAAAAAAGGGATCAAACCAACTCACTCCTAATGTGTGCAAACTTCTCCGCTGGACAGAGGTGTCATAGCTCAATTGCGGCTTGTTGCCCAGATACGCATTAGGGCTAGCCATGTCACCTGAACATAAGATAACAGTTTAACCATATAAACTTCAAAATGTAAGAATGTATCTAAGATAAAAACAAAAGCCCGCAAATCTGTTTATGTTCGTGTACAAGATGACATGAGAAGTAGGGCTCACTATTTATTTCCGACAATGTCATTCAATGAATAACAAATTCGTAAACAATAATGAAACCCCGCTAAAAGGCCAGCTGAGAGCACTAGAACATAAATAACGGGAATTTTGAAAGAAAAAACAACAATAGTAGGCAACTAACCTGCGTCTCAGGCCCAAACCACATTCATCATAGCCGGTACCGGTAAGATATATTCCAGTAATCACCCCTTCCCATCTAGCTTGTTCCTTCATTAAAGACTGCCCGGAGAGGTCTTGCGAATTCCAAGAGATTCCAGGTGGAAAATCCGAAATGGGATTGATCTACATCACGGTTTACAGCCGCTACACTGCCGACCACAAAACTCACAGCCCCCTCCAACGCACGGTTACACGTGTTGCTGGATTTGGCGCCGCGGACGAGAGGGGGCCGCGTGCCGCGCCCAGCCGCGCCACCAACCGTATATGCGTTCTCACAAGATTCACCGAAAGCGTCTTGTGCATCCAACTATCCAGCCCGACGATCCCGCAGGGTCTTGACCGGCGTGTCTGATTCATTAACGCGTGAGGTTTCTCCACCCGAGAACACAGTAGTGTCATTCCCTTCATCGATACGCGTGGAAAACGACGGACGACCCTTCGCGCGCGCTGGCACGCGCAAGAGAGACAGGCAGAATAAAGTGAACGAGAGGGAGAGAGAGCCATTGATTAGAAAAGTACTAGAGAGGGAGAGACCGGCGCAGGAAGCGCGGGATATGGTTCGGTGAGTGATGAACGTCCGCTGCTGCTTGAGGGTCTGTCAAGTTAGCGCGGTCGCTCACGGCCCTTTACCGCGGCGAGGAGAAACGGGACCCATTTTCGGGTCGGGGCTCAGTTTCCCGCGGACGGGGAAATCCCGAGGGCCGTCGAACTGTCTGTCCGAACCGCGTTTTGACATGTATGCGTCGCGCTTGGCGGCGGGGCGCGGCGGGCCGCGGCGGGCCGCTGTTCGTCGACGGCGTGGCACGTGGACGACGTGGGCGGGGTGCGGGCGCGAGGCGCGAAGCCGCGAACAATAGCGGAGCACCGCGCAGCACCGTGAGGCACCGGGCAGCACCGCGGAGCGAGCGAGGTTTCTGAACGCGGGTCTGGCCGGCAGTACCTCACGTTAGGACCTGCCGAAGGCTTCTCAGGGAATTCCCAGGGATGGCGAAGATGACCTTGTCGACGGTGTCCTTGGCTCTGGCCTTCGGCGTGCTGGCGCTCGCCGCCGCCGCCTCAGCACACGTGAGTTGGGCTTGAAAGTGCAAGGACCCGACGCACAGTGGGCCAGAAGACCGGTGTAGGCGACCTAAACTCTAGACGCGTTTTGAGCTCCAGAGTCGCTAAATGGGACTCGAACCGAACGTCGTCGTGTGACCCCACCAATGGATTCCTCGTTCAGAGAGCCATCCATTGGTTCACACGTTCGGTTCGAGTCCTGTTAAGCGACTCTGGAGCTCAAAACGCGTCTGGAGTTTTTGCCGCCTTCACCGGTCTTCTGGCCCACTGTGGGACGACCGGGGGCAAAACGAGGCTTGCAACGCGTTGCTGCCGTTGCTGCAGGACCCCGGCGAGGTCCAATGTGCGGACGAGACGGCCCGGACCGTCATCTCCACCATGGGCGGGCGCAGCCGCATCATGACGCTCCTCATGAACTACATCAAGTGCCTGCAGCGGTCCTCCAACGAGCTGTACAAGCTGTGCAACGAGATCCTGGTGGAGATGGCCAACTGCACCAGCAAGCACGACATCTTCGACGTCATCAAGTGCATGTCGATGGAGACGCCCGCCAAGAAGATCAGCGCCATGGTGATCAAGACGATGGATGTCTTCAAATGCGCTCTGGAATAAGAAGGCCCTTTGTTTTGAAGTGTCTAAGTCTTGGGGCCGCGGGCCTTGGGGTCTTGGGTCCGCGGGGCCCTCCGCGGGGCCGAGTGCGTGGCATCCGCCCTCCGCGGGGCATCCAGGGGCATCCAGGGGCAGCCAGGGGAAGCGCGGGAAAGCCCCATGCCAACCCCTCATCCGTGGTGCCCGCTGTAGGGCTGGCAGGGGCGGCGGCCCGGCGGCGCGGCGAGGCGGGGTGTGCTGCCCCCGGCTTGGTGGGGGCGGCTGGCGGCTGGCCCGGCTGGGGTGGCGCTCGCCGCTGCTCGCCGCCTCGCCGGTGTGGAGGGCTGCCTATGGCGCTGCTGGCGCGGCGCGGCCGGGCGCGGCGGCGTGGTGCCAGTTGCACCCGGTCGTCCGATCCGTGAGGTCCGTGAGGGCATGGCCTCCTAGGCCCCGTTCGGCGCGGGCTGCTGCCTCCACGACTCTCACCACGACTCGGGCACCCCAAGCCTCCAGCGGTAGGGGTCCGGCGCCGCGCCGCTCGGGCTGGGCGACGTTCGCGACGATGCGCGCCGGGTGAGGGGTGTGTCCGACGCGCTCACGGCGGGGAGAGGTCGGTGCTTGGCCGGGTCCTCGACGTCCGCGACGCCGCGCGGCAGTGTGTGCGCGTCGCGCGAACAGCCATGTCCTAGGGAGTACGGAGACGACCGCCGCGGCCCGCGTCACCCGCGAAGCGCCGAGGGGGGCCATCCTGGGTGTCACCGCCCCCGGCTCCGGCCCCGCCCCCGGCACCGCCGCCCCCGCCGCCTCCGGGCGAGCCTCAGTCACCACGAGTTGTAAGGTAACGTGATCCCGGACAAAGTTAGCCGCAGGAACGGGAACTTGGGGTCGAAAGAATGAGGGGGGGAGGGAAGAGAAATTGTGCACGCTTTGGAGTTGCGTGGCTCGACCGAAATATCTTGACAAAGCGCTCTGTTTACTTCAAAGCGGCACAAAGGGGTGGAATCGCCACCGGCCGTGCCGCCGTGCCGCGCGGCCGCTCCGGCTTGCGGTCGCCGACGGTCGGCGATGTGTACCCAGCGAAACACGACACCGGAAAGGCGCCGAACCGGCCCTTTTTACATCGCGCAGTGGATTTTCCAGAAGGCCGGCGGAGGCGGCCAAAACTCTAGAAGCGTTTTGAGCTCCAGAGTCGCTAAGCAGGACTCGAACCGAAGGTGTGGACCCCACCAATGGGTTGTTCTCCGAACGAGGAATCTATTGGTAGGGTCACACGCTCGGTTCGAGTCCTGTGCAGCGACTCTGGACCTCAAAACGCGTCTAGAGTTTTGGCCGCGTCCACCGGTCTTCTGGCAAATCCACTGTGCAACTTACACTCACGCAAAGCGGGTCGGAGCACTGCGGGGAACAGGGCAGGTCGAGGGCAGGCTGGAGAGCGGGGTGGGATCGTGAAAGGCCGAAAGGGGAAATTGCATGTGTCTGGTAGCAGGGCCGCGGTCGCGCGGCGTGGCGCGGCGCGGTGCCCCAGGTGAAAGGGTTTATTAAAAGGGAGCTCGTCATCGAGTGAAGGGTGTCTTCCCGTCGCAAAACATGACTCGGAATAAACAGCTTGAGGGAAAGGGGGTAAAGGTCAACACCGCCATCAAGGCAGGGAGGGCGGCCCGGCGGCCCGGCGGGGGTCACTGGCCGGCCAGGTGGCACTTTAGGTGGCCTGGCCTGCTCGGCCTGCTCGGCCTGCACGCCCGGCTGGCTCCAGAGTGGTGGCGGCCCGAGATTGGAGGCCTGGAGGGTTTGCTTCTGAATGAACCACTCGTTGGGCTTAGCCTGACATAGCCCTAGCATAGCCCACCCAAAGGGCGGCCAAGCCGTGGCCGTTGGGTGGCCTACCCACCGGCGGCGGAAGACAGACAAGGCCTGCACGTTGGGTGGCCTACCCACCGGCGGCGGAAGACAGACAAGGCCTGCACGTTGGGTGGCCTACCCACCGGGCGGCTGGTGGGAGCAAGCGAGAACGTTCGTGTACGCTGGGCGGCCTATTCATCGGGCGGTGCACTGTTCGCAGTCTGCAAAGGATCTGCTTTACGGCAGCGAATAAAACGAAGGCATTCTGGCGTGGCTTCGTTGAAGGGGCGCTTCGGACCGCGTAGTGTCGTGATGCGGACCATTTCGTCGCAGATTTTACGGTGCTTTCATTCTCTCGGTGCATTACGACGCGAAGCTGGGTTGACTTTTCACAGTGTGGGTGGCCTACTTCCGGGACGGTGCAATTAAGGGCTTCCTGCCGTACCTGAGTATACCGCACAGTGGGCCAGAAGACCGGCGGAGGCGGCCAAAACTCTGGACGCGTTTTGAGCTCCTCAGTAGCTAAATGGGATTCAAACCGAACGTGTGATCCCACACTAATGGATTCCTCGTTCGGAGAGCAATCCATTGGTGGGGTCACAAGTTCGGTTCGAATCCCATTCAGCGACCCTTGAGCTCAAAACGCGTCCAGAGTTTTGGCTGCCTCCACCGGTCTTCTGGCCCACTGTGGGAGCGGTGCGCGTTGCCAATGTCCCCGGCGGCTCTGGCGGCCCGAACCAGGACGTGATCGTCGTCATCGACGTCGTCGGCCGGACAGCCCTTCGGGCCCTTCGCCTTGCTTCGCCTTGCTTCGCCTCATCCGCTTCCCGCCCCTCGGCATTGGTGTAAGAATGGGGCTACGGTGGCGCGGCGCGGCGCGGCATGGGCCGGTCACTGCTCGCGGCCGGCCCCCTCACCCCTCGGCCCCTCGGCGGCACGCTTCTCCACGCCGCCCCCGCCCCCTTCGGCGTCGCTGTCCCTCTTCCCTCCCCACCGCTTCGGCTCCCTTCGGGCGGGGCCGCGCGCCGCCACCACGCCACGCCACCCAACACTCAACCCGCAGGGCCCGCAGGCCGCGCGGTCGATACCACGTGGTAGGGGCCGGTGGGGCCGGTCGGGCCGGTGAGGCGGCCGGGGCCGGCGGGGCCAGCGGGGCCGGCGGTTCCGCGACTTACCGACAGCCCGCCCTGCGACGCCCTGCGTCGCCCTGCGACGCCGTGCCCCCTGCCGGCCCGGGGGTCGCTCGCTACCCGACTGTTACCCCTGCCCTGCCCCAAGGCGAACCGAAGCTCAGAGCCCGGTCCAAGTTTCGCACAAAGCCGGCCGGGTGAGGCGGGGCGGAGCGGGGCCAAACTCAACATCTTCGCTGTTTTGACTGCCAGCCCGAGTGCTAACCGGGAGCTCCCCATTATTGCTGGACGTAGTTTGACAACAGTTTGGTGTCCGGCACTGGGGCACCGCAAGCTCCCGTCGTCGCCGGTGCTGTCCGGTCTTGGTTCGCGTGAGCAGCCAGCCAGTCGGGCACAGCGACCGGCAGCTTCATTCCCAAAGCAGTGGAGCAGTGGCGACGCGAAGTTGGTCAAACAGAAGACAGATGTCTCAGTATTGTGCGGTGTGCAGACTTAGGGCCGCCACCGCACAGTGGGCCAGCAGACCGGTGGAGGTGGCCTAAACTCGTTTTGAGCTCCAGAGTCGCTAAATGGAACTAGAACCGAACGTGTGACCCCACCAATGGATTCCTCGGTTAGCGCTCTGTTCAGCGACTGTGGAGTGCGCGTCCAGATTTTCGGCCGCCTCCACCGGTCTTCGGGCCCACTTTGCTGTGTGGCCGTTTGGCCGTTTACTTTAGTCGAGGTCGCGGCCGATGGCGGCCTAATCTGACCACTCTTGTGCGGCCGCTCGCCCCTGGCTCGCCCGGCCACTTTGTACATCGCAAAGCGACGCGGGGCGACGCGGGGCGACGCGGGGCGACGCGGGACGACGCGGGGCGGACCAAGCCAGGCGAAGCAAGCGAGGCGACGGGCATTATTCCGAGCCATTTTGCCCCGCTTTACCCCGCTTCGCCCCGCCGACTTCATGCTGCAGAGTCGTTCTCGTCGCTCTGTCTCTCTCGCACCCATGGGGGGCCCGTGCAGGTGCGAGAGAGACAGAGCGATCCAGCTTCCAATCCGAAAGCGAGGCAGTGAGGCAGCGAGGCGGCGAGCGGGGGCGATTTTCCTTGGAGTAGTGAGTAGCCCCTTTCCCTCCTCGGCGGTGGAGTGAAGCACTCGGATCCCACTCAGCGGCCGGAGTAGAGAGCCCGCCAAAGGAAAATGAGAAGAAAATGGGCCCTTTTTGCGTCACACCATCGATGGCACAGCGTGGCACAGCCTTGAATTTGGGTTCAGTGCCTGCAAAAATAGGTCGCAAAAGAAAAGAACATCCCAGCGAGGGAAGAAGACGGTCGCACTGTTTTGATCGGCCGGGGCGGGGAAGTCCCGGTGGAACTGTGGGTGGGGCTTTGCTTTGGGCCTTGCCTGCCTTGCCTGCCTTGCCTGCCTTGCACCTTAACAATGCAACCAAAGGTCACCTTCGGGCCCTTCGGCCCTTCGGGGCCGTGACGACCGCGCCCACCCCTCAGCCTTCTGATCCCTCCCGACCCCCCCCCCCCCCCTCTCTGCCTCAATCTCATCCCGGTCCATTCCGCCTGGAAAAAGTGCGGTCTGGAGTCACGGCACACTGCCGTGCCGTCGCGATTGGATCACCGGGAAATCCTGGAGCCCCGGCGCACTGCACCTGTGTGTCGGTCTGTCTGTCTGTCCGTCCGGCGGCTTGTCCGTCTGTCTGTTGGCAAAGTATGCCGCCGCGCTTGCCGTCCGTACGCGCGAAGAATCAAAGACTTTCCGACCAACTTTCCAACACGTTGCGCTGCGCGGCGCTGCGCCGTGCGAGCGGGGCTCTCGACACCTCCCCGAGCACGCGGGGCACGCACGCGGGGCAGGGAAGCATCCCCGGCCCGATCCCCGGCGAGGCAAAGCAGAGGCGAATGCAGAACGGGGGCCGTGCTGCAGTGGGCCAGAAGAGCGGTGGAGGCGGCCAAAACTCTAAACGCGTTTTGAGCTCCAGCGTCGCTAAATGGGACTCGAACCGAACGTCTGACCCCACCAATGGATTGATCTCCGGCCGAGGAACCCATTGGTGGGGTCGTACGTTCAGTTCGAGTCC